AAAGCAGGGACGCATGAACAGACAGACGGACGAACTCGTGGACGGACGGACAGAAGCACGGAGGCACGGATGGATGGACAGAAGCACGAATGAACGGTCGGGCGAGCGGACGGATGCACGGATGGTTGGACACATGGACGGATGTTTCGTCCAACTCATCATGATTAATGCCGTGAATATGCTGCGATTTTCTATGCAATTTACGCCTTCTTACGAAACACACACACCGGACGGAGTGACCGTCTTGCGTTCGTGGTGCGATACTCTTTCAAGAAATAAACGGCCCCAGGTGGCATGTGCCTCACTGCACGCTGTTTAGTTTCATCTATTCGATGGCAAGCATTAACGAACCAAACGCATCGATTATATGTAGGGTTTAATGTCACAAAACCACCATATGAGAGACGGTGTAATGGAGGACTCCGGAAATTTTGACCACCTGGGGATCCTTAACGTGAACCCAAATCTGAGCACACGGGCCTACATCACTTCCGCCTCCATTGAAAATGCAGCCGCCGCAGCCGGAATCCGATCCCGCGACCTGCGGAACCAAACCCATTTCGACCGTATCTATCTATCTATCTATCTATCTATCTATCTATCTATCTATCTATCTATCTATCTATCGGAAAAGCAGCCGCCACAGCCGGCATTCGATCCCGCGACCTGCGGGTCAGCAGTCGAGTACCTTAGCCACTAGACCACCGCTGCGGGGCGCCTGTTCTACAGTCTTCGCACCAGTAGAGCACAGTTGCCTTTTTTTTTTTACTATGGCAATTATACGGACACTTTCCATTGGTTTTTACAGTTGCCGTCATGTTCCGCATCAAGTCCAAATTGATAGCATTACACCCACGCATCGTATACGTTCTACCCATGGGTATACGAAGCGCGTGTTTGGGGCGGTGAACGCGGCTGAAGTAGTGATCAAACCAGCCAGCCCGTTTCGGTCGCTCGGGATGCGGCAACATCTCACCACGCGTTAGACCTGCTGTCGACTGCTCAAGCAGGGAGGATACGCCCCACCCGTCTTTAACGAGCATGAAGTAACGCGGAAAAGGGGCGAGGTCTTGCTCGATCGGTAACTGTGAACCTGACTCGAAAGGTGTGATCGCTGGAGCCCACTATCTCGTAAGCTACGAGCGGTTGGCACGGCTCGTACACACTTCTGCGTGCTATACGCTCTCGATGCGAGAAGACTGCGAAAACAGCATCTCTCCCTGGAGCGGCCGCCTTCTCTTACACCAGCGTTTTGTAGAGTTACGCGAAATCGGATCCAAAATAATTAGCGGCCATCTTACTTCGTATAATATGACAGTTTGTTGCTGCCGCATTTACTGTTTCGACTTTGCGGCGAAACTGATTTTTGTATATTTGTATAATTTATTATAGTTTTATACGCATGACAGAGGGACGGACGGACACGCTCGCTGGGTCAGCATGACAATGCTCACAAGTTTAAAAGCTGAATTTATTATCAGTCATGATAAAGCTTGACTTCTGTCTGACGTCGCGCCAAATACTGCACTCTGTACGATCTGCTGCAAAGCGCGCCACCTAAACGGCGCTTTGGTGAAATAACTGAGGACGCGATAGAGTTGAATGCGATAGCGTATAATCAGACCATATTCATATCACCTTCTCAATCGCTAGGCTTGCTTCGACTCTCGGTAGACACAGAAACCATGTGGCAAGGACACATGTGGATGTGTGAACCGCCCCCACAGGATCGCTCCCACAGGCATCGCCCCCCCTCCCCCCAGGGTGGAAACCAGGGGGGGCGTGCCCCCCTCCCCTAACCACTACAGTAGCGGCTGCTAGGAGGCCCCTCGTGGACACCCTAGTGTATTAAACTCCTCAAGATCTTTTATTAAGTACTTTTATTGAAGTTCTTGACCGGCAGACTGACTGACTGACACTTGGGCTCACCTCAAGCTCACATCTCAGCTTTTCCCTCAAGTAAACCTCTCTCTCTCGCTCTCAGAAGCGAAAAATCGCGAGCCCTGCGCGGAACGCGCAGCACGGTTACAGCGAAAGCTCGAAGAGCAGCCTTTTAAAGCCTTTTCTAAGCAATCTTTGGGTAAATGCTAGAAGCACACTTTCTGGGTAGCCACCACGCAATAAAAAATCATTATTTATGCGTAGTAGGCCGGCATTCACTATGCTATCCGTCGTCATTCTTCGAGGTGATATCATCTTAACTCTTACAACAAATTTTGGGCGAATTTTGCGTTTTATGCAGTGGCTGACGACTATAAAAAATTGTGGCTCAAGTGGGCATGTGCCACAGTTAATTGGTGGTGAAGAACAAGCTTCTGTACTAGGTTGGAGCATTGAACGACCTACTCGTTACGCAACTCGCATTGTGTGACGCCTGGTTGTTCCGTTGCTGTTCTAAAACGCTTCATTACTCATATTAACGCGCTTCCTTTCCGACATCAAGCCTGCCTAAGGCAAGCTTGCGAACGAGTCCCAAGCACCGGCGTGGCTCAGCAGTAGTATACTGGACCAATGCCTCCTAGATTTCCCGTGCCTGCCGGATTATCGGCGGTCACTTGGAAAGCGGCGGTCGTCGGAACTATGGTGGTGGCGTCACTCAAGTAGGGGTGTCTTCAAATAAGTTTTTACGCTTTTAGAGCTTATATGCCATTAAAATAACGTAAAAAAGTTTCAAAAGGCGTAAACGTAATTACAATTAACCCTACGTAAATGACGCCATCATTCAGCAAGCAACTTTTTTAATACAAGACATCCTCTGAAATTAGTAGCAAACGCCAAAATTGCCAATCTCAAAGGTCCGAATACAAAGACCCTTATTCCTACGTAGGCAGCGCCGCCATAGATGACGGGCGTTTCGTGCTCATCCGGCAGCACGTGTCCAGAAGGTACAGGAAATCTAGGAGGCGTTGACTGGACTGACACGCAGTGGACCCGGCTTCGAATCCTACTATGTTCTTGACGTTTTTATTTGAGGTTTTTTCTCGTGCGATAGTGGTTACGGGCAGCGGCGGCGGCGGAGAACTACGGCGCTGCGCGTGACCCGTGTTGTGATCTCATAACTTCCGCTGCAAATAAGTTGCCTTATATTAGTTACCTATGTTATGGTCCCATCAGGGGCGCATTTCGACCAGCTGGCACTTTATACACACTTGATTGCAACGTGTGACGTCAAACAAACGTTGAGCCTTATCATGGGCGATAAGGGCCTCAACTTTTTCGGATGCTTTTCGACCTACATTGCGGTGAAGCAAACCCATCAGGGAAACATTTCGATCGGGAGGCTCTTTATAGGCACACGCGTTTGCAACGTGTGACGTCAGGCAAACGTTGAACCTTATCATCCATGGGCGATAAGGGTCTCAACTTTTTCGGCTGGTTTTCGACAAATATTGCGGTGAATCAAACGCATCAGGGGAAAATTTTGGTCGGGAGGGTTTTTATAAGCACATGGTTGCAACGTGTGACGTCAGACAAAAGTGGCGCCTTAACAGTGCATGGCGATAAAGGCCTCAACTTTCTTGAATACTTTTCAACTTATGTTGCGGTGAAGCAAAGCCACCAGGGCGATATTTCGATCCGGAGGTTCTTTATAGGCACATAGCTGCAGCGTGTGACGTCAGACAAAAGTTGAGTCTTATCATAGGTGTTACAGACCTCAACTTTTTCGGATGCTTTTCGACTTGTATTACGGCGAAGCAAACTCATCAGGGGAACATTTCAATCAGGGGGCACTTTATACGCACGTGGTTGCAACGTGTGACGTCACACAAACGTTGAGCATTAATTATGGGCAATAAGGGACTCACATTTTTCAGCTGCTTTTCGACTTTTTAGATCAGTAGGCTCATTATAGGGACACGTACGCGTATGCAACGTGTGACGTCAGACAAATGTTGCGCCTTATCATGGGCGATAAGGGCCTCATCTTTTTCTGGTGCTCTTCGACTTATATTGTGGTGAAGAAAACCCGTCAGGGAAATATTTCAATCGGGAGGGTGTTAATAAGCACATGGTTGGAACGTGTGACGTCAGACAAAAGTTGAGCTTTATCATGGGCGATTAGCGCCTCAACTTTCTCGGATGCTTTTCGACTAATGATGCGGTGAAGCAAACCCATGAGGGCAGTATTTCGATCGGAGGCTCTTTTAGGCACATAGCTGCAATGTGTGACGTCACACAAAAGTTGAGCCTTATCATGATCGAGAAGGGCCTCAAGTTTTTCAGCTGCTTTTCGGCATACAATACAATGAAGCCAACACACAAAGCGAATATGAAAGATCTCCATCGTTGCGGGGCCCTGCATTGAAATAGCCTTATTTGAATCTAAATTCTAGAAGGTGTATGTTTAGTCTACTGTACTGTACCTTTATGTCAGGTCGATGGCTACAGTGACCTCGATTGAGTCGGTGCTGATTGCACCACCACAATCATTCTCCATCCCTTTTGCGGATATATATTTTAGAGTTCAACTATTCTTTCTAAAAACGCACCACATCGCGCCGGTTGTTGTCTGTAGCCTTCAGAAATGTATATTTTCTCACTTTTGAAACTCAACCACTTTAATAAATTCATTTTGGGCGCGTTTTTGACCACAAAGGTAAGCCTTTCGAAATGTTGAATTTTCCAATTTTTTATAGTTTTATCCACTTTTGGTACGATTGTGGACGCGTTTTCGACCAGAAAGGTAGTCTTTGGCAATCTTGTACAATTACATTTTTTTAAAAACTTCATCCAAATTTAATATAACTGATCGTGGGTACACTTTTGACCAGAATGGAAGTCAAGCATTTTTTTTTTCACTTTTGAGCTTCATACTAGTTTCATAAAATTTATTAATAAATTGGACCTGGAAAATCACTTTCTTCAATATAAAACTGTAGGATCTCAAATGCAGTGCAGGAGTAGCTTAGAGATTGTAAAGGGGCCCTTTTACCCTGCAGTGCAGTAAGCATGTGATGACAGTGATAATGACGTGAGTGAGTGGAGAGATGTACACGAAACGATGAATAAAGAATTGTTTACTCCACAGTATTCGTACATGTATTCTCGCACAACAATTTGCATTGTCGCAGGTATAAAAACAAAATGCCAAGAGGTAACACAACAAGTATCCCCAACAACACTTACAAAGACTGGCTAGTATTATGGAAAGAGCTGAAAGCCGTGCACAAGAGACACAGCTGTGGTGAGCATTTGCAAAGTGTGCACCTTTCGCAAGTGAGGTGGTCAGGGCAAGAAAACAACACAGATGCTAAACAAGAAGAGACAAACTACTTTGTCCTAACAGTCCCCTTCAGCACTGCCATGCAACTTGTAATAAAGACTTAAAAATGTCTTCCAATGTATGGGAGCATAGCTATTGCCAAAGCCCTTATTGTGCTGCTTCAAAGCTGTTTGAAAAGTTTTTTTTTTTTTTCAAAACACACACATAATGTGAAGCATATTGAAGCTTGTGGCTCCCTTTACCTAACACCCGACACAAGCTAACATTTCAAAAAAATAAATCCCTGTTAAAAATTTAGACCAGAATGAAACATGCTAAATGCTTACGCTTTGCAAAATACTTAAAAAAATGAATAAATGATCACTACAAGCCGTAAACTATATATTTTAGGTGAAGAAACTCAAGTGCTGAAATCCTGACATTGCTAAGCAACATGATAATATATAGCACCATTCCCACTAATGGCATCATCCTTGCATGATGCTTATATTTCTGATAGTGGTACGGCTATCTCATTTAGAAGAATACAGCATATTTAGGAATAATATGTGTAATCATTGCTTTGTAATTCGCACGTCCTGTAGCAGGGGGTCGCAATATGACACTGCAAATCAGAAAAGCGAATAATGAAAATAAACTTCTATCTGGCAGGCACCCAAAGCCAAAAGAAACTACTGTGACAAAGTAGACAGTTGCTTATGGCATCAACTTGACCTCTACACATAAAGAAAATTTTCAGGCAAATATAGGCTTGTAAAACAGCAGATTGTTCAAGGCAAACTCCATCAACATTCAATATCTGATAAGCTGAAAATTTTGACAAATTTGCCTGGTTCAGTTACCCACAGAATGAAAGAATAAAGTATGTGGAAACCCGAAATGCGGATAAATTATAAAAACATTTTCGGAGCCCGTCATTGGTGCTTAACTAGGAGTCTGTTGCCATTGCAACGAAAGATGAACTGTAATAAGCAAAAACACATCATATTCGTGTACATATAAACTTCAAAATATGTGTAACAAAAATATGAAACCACACACATACAATCACAGTGCTCACATGAGGAGGGACTAGTACATTAGAATGCTAGAGGGAAGTAGTGTGTTAAGACAAAGAAGCAAGTGCTTGCTTTCATTAGTGATATACAATCTATCTATGTACAAAAATGTCACAATTTACAGTGCCATTACAGCTACGCATCCTTATGGCAACGATGGTTTACTTGCAATATAAAAGCCCACACAACATTATTGGCACCATTTCCTATACCTTTCAAGTATCAAGCATAACAAATTGGAGGGCATATATTAAATTGAGCTTTGGTTCTTAAAGAGAAGAAAAAGTGAGGATATGCCACGCATGGACACTCTTAAAACTGCCCTATGCACATTTTTACGAGTTTTTTTTTTCTTGATAATGAAAACAGCACACTCTTACAAAAAACAGAAAAAAGCTGCCAATACATGCTTAGAGAAAGTGAAACTATTTTGAAAATATTGTGGAATTTACCCACAGCAGACTAAGAGCCTAAAAAACCTTTGCCTTATTTCACAAATATCTCTTACTTCGGCCACAAATCAACCTCAAGCCTAAAGTGTCCCAGCCTCCAAAACCTTACAAATGCCATACTTGGAAATTGCAAAAGTGCAGGATTAGAAACCTTTCTGCAGGCACACCGCATCTTTTCGTAACAAATGTTTCCCAGACTGCCACTAGATGTGAGAAATACTCATCCTAAATACCTAACTACATATTTAGAAACTTTGTCTCATGACCCTTGAAAGCAATACATCAACCCCTTCAGGTCAGTGGTACATCTGTGCTTGCATACATCATCACTTTTTTGCACATTTAAAAAAAAAAGACATTTTTTTTTAAGTAACCGCTTTCTTTTTTCTTCAAGACTTATAAAACCATTATTTTCAAAAAGGACCCCGAAGGCAGTCACTAAATCAGACTAAGGACATTCAATTTCAGCCAAGTCATGAAAATGACTGTATTTACTAAAACTAATAGCCTCAAAATACCATTGTTTGTTTATATTGGAGGACTGACTCATAACCCAATGGTTGACTGCATGTTTGTCCCTCAGTATCTTTTTGGTACCTGCCTAACTATCTTTCATAAAGAGATCACTCCACCACACTACACACAAGTGAAGTAGAAAAATCCTGGATCACAGGGTATGGGGCAATAGGCATGCAACTATGCAACACTAACAAAACTTAGGTATTGCACCACGATCGTTCCCACAGGTCTCTCAGAATTGAACGTGCTCATTCTAGTGAACCATAAAGTATCAAACAACAGAGGTGTCAGCACAACTCGCCACACTGACACTTTCTCTCTTGAATCTGCAGGCTTTCTGTTGAAACGCTTCCACATCAAGATGTAGCAACTCCTTACACTTTCCACATCAATATCATAGGGTAAGTAAGGGACGTATATCAATTCTACGTAAAATCCTTGATGCATGGCAAACATGCCCTTTGGACTGCACATTGAACATTTCAGTAGGTACAGTGCCTGACAAAGAGTGGGCGTGCGTCATACCACCTCACATCCTCACCGTGCATCTTGTGCGAACTTTGTGCAACAGTGCTAAAATGGCGATGGACAACATAAAACTCGTATGCAATCGTTAATGATAAAACTAAGGAGATGATGGTGGCTTGGGTGTTCCTACGCATGCGTCGAGAGCATGCCACTAAAATCCAGAACTGGCAAGCTGGCAGGATGCTGTGTGATTGAAGAGGAGGAGGGCCACTAGGACTGGACATTGCCAAAGGTGCCTGGCGGCGGGCGGTATTGTTTGGGAAGTGCCATCAACTGCAGGCTGTTGAAGGCGTATTTGCACACGCCAACGTTCTTGAAGGTGTTGTGCCGTCTCGTGCCCTCACTGCACAAAAAGTTCGAAAGTTCAGATCTCTCAGGTGAGCAGAAGCGATGCTCCTAGATTACTGTTCGAATAATGTTGCATAGTTCTAACGTCATACATGGCATTTTCCTATTGTCTGTTGCATCCAACTGGCTAGACAAAGGATGCCTCCATGGGAAGCGGTGGTTCAACCAATTTAGGATTTGGAGGAATTCTTGAAGCAGATTTGAAATAAAAATAATTGTGCTTTTGCACAGTTTTGGAGCGAAAATAAAAGTAATTTGGAACAGTTTTAGAGCTTAAAAATTGTGTTTGAGATCATTTAGAGCAGTGTCACAGTACTAAGTGCCCTACTATTTTCTGCAGAGTATCATCACTGTGTGAACAGAAAATGCTTGCTCTGATGTACACAGAGTGAGAACACCAACAACTACAGGAAGAGCATTTCACACAGAGACTTCCTTGTATTGACTTTACCACTACATACAAGAAGTCCATTTTGGGAGGCATAAGCTACCAAGGCAAACATGACAGGTATGTGTTCTGCGCAGACATTGTGAGAAAAAAATAGTCGGAAAACTGTGAATTTTGATGCAGTTCGCACTTCGTATACAGGACTTGGTGCGGCAAGGCAGAGTGAGGTTGTACTGTATCAAAATGGCACAAATGGCACAGTTGGACCACCACTGCATCAGTAACATCAACACTTTGTGTAATTTCTGGTTCTTGTTCATGCAGGATGACATCAAATAAATTTGTAGAGAGGGCAATAGATTTTTGTGCCACTTGTGAACACGGCTAAATGAGCAGCCATCTGGTGACCTCCTAGCTATTTAGCATGTGGAACACTTGAGATCATAGTGCTGGACACTCATTTTCATGGTGCCGAGGTACTGCCACTTGCCAGCTATATTCACATTCATGTTTTGCCACTGATGGCATGTTGCCCAGATTTGTCTGCAAGTGAAAGCATACTAGGAGCTCTAATATCTAGCATGAAACCTACACGAGACATTATCCTGCTTCCGCAGTGACAATACAACACAGTAAGTGCGGAAATACTGTACTCAGTGCGTGTGCTAACCTAATAAAATTATCAAGGAGGCTAACATTCTTGGACTAAAAATCTATGTGCTGGCATTGAAGGCATGGCATTTCCATACTTACTGAATGATGTTACCCTCACTGCTGAAAGACACTTTTCATGAACCCAATGCCCGAAAGCACACACTCACCTTCGCATGCAAGGCCACTGCCCTGGGCACTTCCTTAGAATCGAGACCAAAGTCTTGAAGCAGAATCTGCCCCTGTTCCAATGTCACGCACATTCCAGTTCGGTCCTTGGCGCTCTTGCAGCTCGTGAAGCGCAGGCCCCGCATACGACGACATGCCTGAATGTTAGTAAGCACTCACGGTGAAAACAGATCCCAGTTGCCCCATCTGGATTGCTTTTCTAAAATGTGCCAAGCTGCAACAACAGCAGTTTGCATACTTAAAGGAGTACTGACACAAACATTTTACATGTTTTTTTTTTTCTGTTGGTATAAGCAGCTAACAACCCGGTCATCACAGCTGGGAAGCTTTTATTCACAAGCTCACAATGACTATTTATTTGGAGAGGTCATTTTACAACATCCCATTGAAATTTTGGTTTCAAAGAGCACTGAGTGAGACAGGGCAGAGAATGGTTTTCCCATAAACATAGCTGGCTACCTGAGCACAAAATATCCCCATTAACATGAACACAGTGTTGACAACTCCTTGAGTGCTGCTATGATCCCTTCTGGAATCTTGTAAACAGGCTTCAACCTCTGAAAATGCACTTACCCAGGTAAGAACGTCAGCCTTTCTACTCCCTCGCAAATTCATAAAGGAGATGCTCTCTCTTTTTGTTTAAAATGTAATAATAATAATATTATTTGGAGTTTCATGTCCCAAAATCAAGATATGATTATGAGAAATGCTGCAGTGGAGAGCTCTGGAAATTTTAACCTTCCGTTTTTTTTTTTAACGTGCCCTGACGTCGCACAGTACAAGGGCCTCTACCATTTCACCTTCATCAAAATGAAACCGCCGCGACCGGGATCAAACTTGCGACCTTCGGGTCAGTAGCTGAGCACCGTAGCCACTGTTCCACCGAGGCAGACCCCATTAAAATGTCAGCTAGAAGCAAGGAATCGCAAGTATCATGGCAGCCTACATAAACTTACGATGCAGACAGTTGTAGGTTGTTTGTAGAGTTGCAGACGTTGCAGATGATGCATGTGTCTACACGAACCTATCCTACAAGTCATCTCGCCTTCAAAATTTTGTGTCAGAGCTCCTTTCATATACTCAGCAGCATTACAATACACAACACGGGACTAGAAAAAAACAAACCATTTTCAGCAAAAGCCACTGCAAATAGCCTTAAATTCAAAGTTTATTTATTTATTTATTTATTTATCATACCTCAAATGCCTCTAAAGGAAGGGGTTTTACATGAGGTGGGTTACATTGTAAGTCGATCACCTTCTGTTACTTACAAAGTTACACATTAACTTGCAATAAGTGCCTTATAAAAGCAAACACTCACATATGTTATGAAGCACAGGTACAGTTGAACCTCTTTATAAGAGACACTGATGTAACAGACACTTGGTGTATAAGAAACACCAGTGTGCTGCATAAAAGTAGGGGTTGATTAAAAAATGCATAACGTAGTAGCCTCATTATGTGAGACACGTCATATAAGAGACAATAATTGCTTCCACGGGCATGTCTCTTATAAAGGGCTTCAACTGTGTTATAAGCTTTTGGAGCTCACTATACCACACCAATTTCCGTGGCCAAATACAGCGAAATGTTTGTAAGAATCAGGAGAACAGTAAAGTATGAAAGCTGTTTATAGTAGCCGACAGAGCAGAACAAGCCAGGCATTAATGAAATTATGACAGTCGCAACTCCCACCAAATGACACTAAGAGATTGATGAATGAAGTAAGAGAATTTTCTCGGGCTTGTGTCTTTGTTTGACACAATTTTAATGAAAACCTGCCGACAATGAAGCCAGGAGAGGTGTAGAGAACATTGACTGTACTCTTTTAAGTGTATTGTAATAATCACGATATGGAAGTAAAGAAAGTGAAGTGGACAAAAATGCAACTTGCCGCTGGCTTTCTGTATAGTGAATTATTAGAATACACTTAAAAAAAGTGCAATTAATGTTCTCTACACCTCCCTTAGCTTCATTGTCTGCTGGGTTTCACTAAAGGAGTGGTGGTAACATACCGTATTTACTCGCGTAATGAATGCACTTGCATAATAAAAATGCACCCCAACTTCAGTCATCAAAATTTGGATTTTTTTCCCCGCATAATAAACGCACCCCCTACATTCATCCGCTGCAGTTCCGCAAACAACACCTGGCGCCTCCTTACCGGTGGATCTCTTCCGTTTTTTATTATTTTGCCGACCCCATCAGCCACCGCAGGTCGCTCCCCCCCACCCTACTTGTCCCGTTGCTGCGTGCAGTATCATTTTTCTTTCTATCTGTGCGCCACAGCGGGATTCAGGAACGGTGCGAGTGTAGAGACATCGCAGCTGATAAGCACACTTTGATTGAAGGCCGTGACCTAGCTTCGCTCCCTGTGTGCTAATCAGCTGCGATGTCTCTACACTCGCACTGTTCCTGAACCTCACTGTGGCGCACAGTTAAGACGGGGTCGCACAGATAAGACGGGGTCGCTTCCTGCGAATACAAAAAAGCCCAACTGCGCGCACAAAATTTTTGAGCGATGACGATAGGGATTGCTGTTACGAAAGGTCGTTCGTCACTATCGCGTGGCAGGTTTCTGGAAAATGGAAAACCAGACTTGTCGTCCAGAAAAGATCGTGACGATTTCCGCAACATGGTAGCACCCCCGACTTTCGCTTAGCTTAATATCCGCGCGTAGAGGAACTTCTCATGCAGAAGCGAGGAGGCGGCCGTATATATCTTGTTATCGACGGTTTGTTTTGATTCTTCGGGGGTAGCTTGCTGCAATGTTGGTTACTTGCAACAATGTTAACAGCATCGTCACGGTCGTCGTGCGAGGTTGCCGCGAAGTTGGCAAAGTGCATCATAGCGCACGCTTTTCGGTGCCCTTCGAAATTCCAGCAGGTATCACTGCTGCGGTTAAATGATTGCGAGAAAAGATAGTCGCAAAAGACTTTTATGGCGTGCGCGGGCGGCCCGGGACAACTTGCAGAAAATAGCGCCATCATGGTACCACCAAAGATGAGTAAAGTGCAACAATGAAGAGGTTTCCAAACAGTGTACGCGTATGTCAATTGCGAAAGGATAAGTGACTTAACTTTTTTTTTTTGCATTACCACATTTCTTGCTTCTCACAAAAAAGTTTTCATAAAATTTACCACGCCTAATAAACGCACCCCCAACTTTGCGCCGAACTTTCGATAAAAAAAATGCGTTCATTACGCGAGTAAATACGTCCCAGGGCACACACTCACTTTTCCATTTGGCAGTTTAGTAGACATTTCACACCTGCAAACTGCTGTCAATCAAACTAGCAAGCGTTGCATCTAAGCATGATATTTACCTAAACCTACCCCGACATATAAACAGAAGCAATCGACCAGCAACTCTATAAGAGCATCTTATATCAATTCATGCATCCTACCTCCATTGCAAGATGAAGAATCTCAACATCTTTGCTCTTACGGCCGCGAACGTGGGTTTGAAGTTGCTCTATCACGTCCATAAGAGGCAGCTCCCGTGGCTGTATGCCTGCAGGTTGTGAATAAAAGGCACATCATATTGATTAAAGAGTGGCAGTAATGTACAAACATAGTTAAAGAATTGACGCAGATGATGCGCACAAAAACATGCAATATCATCCTCCCCACTTCAAAGGTGCCCCAAAAAATTGTGCAACCAATCCCTCCCAGAATACTACAGGCAAGAATATTCTATTGCCAATCATACGCACAGAAATGAGCTGGCAAGGTCTGTTCAGGTGACAGAAAATGTAAGTAAATTGATGAGGAAAGATTCGTGGCTTATAGCATTTAAAGCAGTGCCCTAGAAAATGCAGAATTCATCAGGAAGTGTAAAATGTATAGCCTAACCAGGGGCAGATCCAGCCACTTATTTTAAGGGGGGCATTCGAAGTAAAACAGGAGAGGGGGCTCCTGGGTCTCTTGTTTTAGGGGCACTTTAGGGTTGCAACAGAATGGAAAGTTGGGCTAGTCAGATATGCACGGTATAACTGTGTGTTTAAGCGCACAAAGAAACACAAAGGAACACAGGACAAGCACTTTCTCGCAACTAAAAGATTTATAGAAAAGAGAAGAATATATAGGCAGGCAATCAATACCTAAGCATGCTTGTGAAGGCATATTGAGGAGACTGTTACTAATCTGCCACCCTGACGATCGTGTAGCCAAGATGGAACCACCGACACGGCTGCCTGACCGGGGTTTCATTAGCCCAGGGAGTGATTCCTTCTATTTCGCTTACGCATCGGCTGTTCCTGGCCTGTGGCCCGGCATCATCGGCTTAGCAGAGCCTCATCCTCTGTGTGCACTGCGTGTGGGGCAGATGAAACCATCAAGCACCTGTCGTGTGTTTGCCCAGCGCTTCGCACACAACAAGACGTCTTGCTCACCACAGTCCACCGCCATGGTCTGCCACCAAGGTCTTCAAGGCGGTCCTTCGTTTCCTTGAGGACGATGGACTGGACAACCGGCTATAGAAGCCGTCTGCCACGTCCTCGGTCATGCAGCTGTTTCTCTTCTTCTTCTTTCTTCTCCCCATCTTTATTGCCCTCATTCAACCCCTACAGGCGCTGAGCCGTGCTCCCAATTAGGGCGGCAGAAGTTGCATCTTTTTTTTTCCTGAACCTCTCTCTCTCGTGTGAAGGCAAAAGGTACAACCGTGACAATTCGAGAACAGTAACTGATTAAACTAAACGGTCAATTGACTGCTATCGATTTCTCACCCTCCTCAGTTTCGTCCCTCACGCTCCGCTCGCGCAGTGGGCAGACTCAGCGCAACGACTGCACGGACTGCCTCCATTGATGGGAGCAGCTGATAAGCGACAGCATGCCATAAGCTAGGCGCGGAGGATTTATTTTTAGTACTTACTGTCATCACAAGAACCACAGAGCACAAATACCATCAATTTGTGCTTACAGTGGTCCTACTCATTTGTCCTGATCATTAATAGAAGGTGGACAACCGGCATTGAAGGGAGCCGGGGGTGCTGGCACAAGGTTGGGGGGAAGGGGGTGATCCCCTTACCGCCCCCCCCCCTCTGCATCCTGCCACTGCCATCACATGTGATAATGAAACACTTAGCATAACTAAGGTCGTGCAAATTTTTAAAATATTTTTAATAGTGTTTGCTGCTCAATTCAAACTGAAATTTTCCTACTCCAACAATTCGAACTTCCTGAAGAAAAATACAGTCAGTGTCCAATAAACAGTGGCCACCCCATCACACTCTCGCATTACAGCAAAGCTGCTTATCAGGCTCTGCTACAGTCGCGAATATTATAAAAATATTTAATTAGATTTCCACTCACACTGCAATATTCGAATTTGCTTCACACCCAGAATTTAGCTATCTGCACAACTGAAATGTGTGCATGTACCCCTGTAAAAGTGGTTTCACTGCAAGAAGGAATGCTAAACCACGAAAACACCCATCCGGAAAAAATCCACACTGCCACGAAGCCCAACTTCAAGATTAAATTAACATATTGCCCTCACATTGATTGATCCTTTTCCGAGTTTAAAAGCTTGTCATACCGGCCTATATGCTCTCAGTATAGTAAATTTTAAAACGTAACATATTTTGCAAGCTAGCACTTGCATTCTACCAAAAGTCAAATTTTTTTACTATTCAAAGTTGTTTCCACTTTCCTTGAACCAAAAAGAATGGCATTTGCACAGGCCTTGTTAATAATTATTTTTAATATTGAGCAGGTTAGTTGGGTAATGAGAGATGTGACCGTATTCTTTATAGTAAGTGATATGTACTCTCTGAATTCAACCAAATCGCGGTTCACATCAAACCTTAAAATTCACTATTGGAATAAGCCTGAACATAACCCGTTCAGTGGCGGTGGCTATATTCTGCTGTGTCATCTTATCACCAAAAGAGAGTTTTCTGGAATTACAGAAGCGGATATGGCAAATTCATAGACATCGCATCATAACTCACACTTGAAAGGCATAATCATCAGCCACTATAGTACTATATTCTTCAAATCATTCATTCCATGAAAAATTATGCAGTTATTGAAGTGGCATGAGATGCAGCAATCAAATTGTTTCCTTGGAGAAGTTGTTTTCTGGGAAAATCTCATGTCGAGATGAAATCATTAAGTTCTGCTTACCAAATGATGACGGTACAGGCTTTTCTGGGAACTAAGAGGCAGTCATTCCATTTAGGCAGCAATTCAGGTTTCTATTTACCGAGTGTCTGCAGTACTTTTTTCTAATTAGGACAAAGTGAAGCACTAGTTACCAGCACAAAAATAGGCAGCTTGAATTAACTCAGTCACTTCAATGTTGGGCTTCAAAGATAAAAAGGAAAAGGCTTGCCGACACAGACCCATATATGTGCGCACACTGTGACCCAGTCTGGGCCATTTCTTCCATGTGATATCGTAATCACACCTTGCCAACCCATGAAATGAAATGAATGCTTGAAAAGCATGCTCTAGTGTCTCTTTAAGTGCAACTAGATGCATCATCAAATGACAGCAGTTGCACTTAAAAGTAACTAACACTCGTATGTATGCAATTACCATGCTTGGACGAAAGATCTCCAACCTCTATTGTGCAGTCATTCCCTCAAACAACCATGCCATGAATACTTACGGCAAAACTCTTTTTACTCAGCCCCTCACACTAGCAGGCAACTGTCTCGCTAACTTAACTGGTCTGTGGTACATTATAATGACACATGCTCAGTTACATTGACACCAGAAACATTTTAACGTCTCAATTCACATTTTGCAAGCCAAGTGATAAATACAATTACAAAACTAAGCGATAAATGCATTCCTCATAAAAAGTGAACATAAATACATGCGCTTCGAGTTTTTCTACCACCAGCAAGCAAAAAAAAAACCTTACGTTGACATAGTTGAGCGATACTTTTTGTAATACTATCAAGTATCCCCACTTTTTACCTCACCCTTACTTAAAACAAGACTAGAGAAAGGTAAAAGTGTCTGCATTTTTATTCAAGTACTAGATGTTCAACTAGAGTTCTTCTCATCCACACATGTAGAGTCTCTTATTTTTGCATTTATGCTTCTTTTTTAATGAACTATTTTTTAATTTACGTGTGCCACTCACTCTCAATGCTCTTGCAGTTCTGGCTCAGTAAGACACAAGGTCACAGGTTCGATTCCTAGACACAACAGTGTATTTCAATGAAGGCAGAATGTAAACATGCTTGTGCATCATGTGCACATTGATGAACCCTAGGAGGTAAGAATTAACCGATAACCTTCCTTAAAATAAACCTCATTAAAGTTTTGGACAATGAAAACCATAACTTATAAGCTTCTATGCATACATTTGCAAAAACTATGGTATAAAACAAACAAAGCTTACCTCCAAATGAGACCTCGCTATTCAATGTTCACCTGAAATATTTATTTTTTATTTTCTGATCAGTCAGAAGTCTTCCTTGCCAAATATTCGTGCAAACATGGTAGCTCTAGAATGTGCTCCCATATCACGATACGTTGAAAATGCCCAAGTGTGAATACAAACATTTTCTTATTGCGCTTCATGTGCAGTGAACATTTCCTCGGCTATGGGTGCCGCGTGCGATTTCTTGACAAAAAAACAACAACAAAAAAAAGACAGATTGCCTCATGGTATGCGAAACTGGGGTTGCCAGAGTCCACTCGTATGTCATGTGCAAGTGCTTGTGCAGGGTAATTCCCAGATTTTAAAAAATGCAAGCATAACAAAAAAGAGGCACGTACGTCCCACCCACAAATTCTTACTGCGGGCTCTGCGTTCTTCTGTGATGGCCCAAGCCACAGCTGCCACTGAAGTCAAGTTTGAAGGCTTTCAGTTTCAAAGCAAGCAGCAGCATCAAAACGTGACCTCATTATAATGCATAAGTAATAATTATATTTAATCAGTAAAATGAAGTAGATCTATTTCGACAGGGAAGCCGTAAAATTCTATTGGACAACAGCGCGTCGGAGGGCACAGAATCAAAAACATGTGGATATTTACACATAAATGCAAAGTTGTACAAACTCTGGCATACAGATCTCACAGAGACAAAGATTTCTTTTAAAGGTAACGTAAGTTGCAAGTACTAATTATATAAAACTTCACTTTAAAAGTAATGTTCCTCTCTAAACGTCTGACCTGCTGTCACAGATTATGTGGTGAAGCTCTGATAGAGAGCAATATTGTCTAATGTCACTTGTAGTAATGATAGATACTATGACAATTTCGCCCACAACAAAAATTGTCACATTAGCAAGCAGAGAAAGTAATAAAATTGAATTAACGGACTAAAGTATTAATACTAGAATATGATACTATTTGCAAGCTCAGTTCTTTTGGGGCCATTAAAGCAACAAAGCTTTTCTAAGAACAAAGTGATAGTAAAGGAATAATAAAACAATGTGTATATGAGCAAAACGCACATTAATATCACACCCCACACTTTTTTATTCCTGTTCTGGGACAGTAAAGCAATGATTACATGGCTTGTCACTGCAAAGGTGTTAAAGAAGTTCAATGTGGCCTGACTGCAATGTAAACAAGTCAAATCACATTACTGAGAATGCAGGGGTGATCAGGTCTGTGATGTGCAGCCACACTTGTGCATATGAAGCTACTGCGCAGTTATATAAACTTGGAAATAGAGATCTCATATGAAAGAGAAGACAAAGCATCGCTGGCAAATGAACTTACTTCGAGCCCTTGGTGCATCATGCTTTGGCATAGGAAATTTCTGAAACTGCTTGTAGTACTCCTTGAGCGATGCTGCCCCATCTAGGTTGATACGTTCTTGAAAGCTCTGGTCACCAACTCTGCATGATTGATTTGAATATATAATCAGCTACAAAAAAGACCAAAACCAATACGGCTTCTATCGAAATATAAGTAAAAAGATCAACATACTGACATGGGACACAGCTTGCCAAGCTAAAACGAAGACGTCACACTTTTCAGTGATAGAAATAGGAAGTTACATAATAGTAGATTGACAGGTAAATGTTATTCTATGCAGAAAAAGTTCACCTAGTAACAACTATAAAAAACTAACCTAGTAACAACTGAACAAAACTTAGCTGTCCCAATACACTGCAAGATACTTCAATACTTTGAAATCCGTGCTTGTATCCATCATCAGTCACAAGCACAAACATTTCTGTTGCACCAAAGCCTACAACAAATCATCAAGTAAATTTTTAAATCCCAATTAAAGACTCTGAGAATCTTCTGTCAGCTAAAATGGGCCTATCGGTATTACCATGGCATACATGTTATAATTTGTCTATAATACAAGTAAACAATAAAAAAAATCAGAGCAAACACACGGAGTGAATGATGATGAATGGGGCGAAGCGTTCGTCTATTTGTGCACCCGTCCGTGCATCAGGCAGACAGGCGACGAATGGACGCGGCCAGCAGATGATTCACGGTTTGCCGATAAAACCCTCCGAAGCTTCGCTCCACACATCATCATTCACTGCGTGGATATGCTGGGAGGTGGTTACTACATACATGCATATATACAGGTGACGACCGACCCACGCCTTAAAGAGCTTCGCCCATAATAATAAATAATTGTTGGGGTTTAACATCCCAAAAGCACGATATGATGAGAGACACCATAGTGAAGGGCTCCGAAAGTTTCGACCACTTGGGATTCTTTAATGCGCACCTAAATCTATACACATGGGTGTCAAGCGTTTTTGCTTCCATCAGAAAACGTGGCCACCTTGGCCGGGATTCAATTCCACGACCTTCGAGTCAGCAGTTGATTACTATAACCACAAGAACACGACGGAGGTTAATACGAGTAAACGGTACTTACAAAAAACGAAAAATAGGCCTGCAGTAAATTCCATAGGCATAACACGTCAAGATTACGCATTTACATAACGCACGACTTTAGTCTTTCAAATTCTCAGAAACAAGGATTAACAATAGATGACTGCAATAGGCTCTATTTTTACAAGAGAGTGGTGCTTGCTCATCTAGAATAGACTTACTTTTCAGCTAGTGTAGCCTGTTCATTGATGCCAACGTTGAAAAATACGGGGACGACACTAAATTGAAAGCGGCCCCTGTGCGGCACTTTGGTCATCACTGTCTCCGGTGTTGGGATCAGCACTGAGAGGAAGACTCTGGAATGGAAGAATAGTATTGCACTGCTGTTGAGAACACAGGGAAATATTACTGTTTGTATGCAATATTATCAACTGCACTACTTTGTCTGCTCTAAACACATACAAAAGTACAACACGTAATTCCAAGTGCACCCTGCCATGCACCACAATGTCTTTGCACTACAACTGCTCTATATAACAGTGATTGAAACCTAAAACTGCTGTCCGCAGGTATGACCTGCTCCTAAAGCAACCTCCAGACCCCCAACTCACCACTGTGACAGCAACACTCAGCTACGAATTGAGACTATGATTACTCCCTGCAACTGCAACTTGCAATCACAACTACGGTATGCAAGTAAAACTTGCAAATTTAAAACTGTATAGTGCAGCTACAGCTTCTCCCTGCTACGAATTGCAACTTATATTGAACTATCCGAATGCAACAGGAATAGTTTACAGCCTATGCTGGGTGGGAGTACAAGCAAGTACTCCCACCCGAGCAAACATCCTCTTTCCTTTTTCAAAAGTCATTGGCACCAAATAAGCGCCAATGACTCGTCCAGGAACGAGCAAAAAGCGCCGCCCTCCTAAATCTGGTCGGATTAGCCTTCACCAAAGGGGAGGGGGGGGTGCTTGCTCGGCATTTTATGGTAACGTGCCACTTAGAAGAGTGCATAGCCAGCACATTTTTCTCAATTAAGCTCCTGCAATAATCTTTCTCTCTTACAGAGCTGAGCCACGTAATACCTATCTATATTTTTAGCCCACAAAATAACTGCAAAATAACATGAAAGCCAAATGGAACATCCCACATCCCAGGTACTGGGCATTTTTTTTTTTTAGAACTGACCTGTTTCATTGCACTGTACTTTTGTTACAAACTATCTAATTAATGATTATAACACCAATACATATTGTTCTCTCCTTGTGGCAGAGTATAGCACAATGCCATTTTTGTGGCCTCCACGACTAGCTACGGCAATGCGCCATAGCCAGTCACGAAGGCCACGCTATTTTACTAATTTAATTTTTTTATTGGATATGAAATATTCCTCGTAAAATTTCAAGCAAGATTAAAAAAATCATAAGCGATGTCAAAATTCGTATATTTTACGGGAAAATCGGAAGAGTAGGCAGGTATGCAATTTCAATGCAGTTTGCATTAAAATAAATAGGAATAGCAAAAATTTAATGGCCTGTCACAGTTTTTTATGTGAAATGCCAGAAAAAGAAATAAATAAGAAAAGTCGCACTGTTCTGACTGCAACAATATGCGATCTCTCTAGTGTGGAATTTTACAGCATGTCGTGGCTTTCATTTTTTTTTTTTTAGCACTGCACATAAAAAAAAACTGGATGGGTCATTGAAGTTCTATCCTCCTTGAATTGTTTGCAAAGACCACATTAAAACTGGTCATTTGTAACCAAACTACATCCCAATGAAATGGGTCAGTTGTAAAAGAATCACCCTGTACGGAAATGCTGCGTCGAATAAAAAAATGCAAAACACAGGCACACACCGGCTTCCCTCAACACGAGGCTTTGGGCTGCAGACATTTGTAGCTGGCTCGAGCCAAAAGGCAACACGTCGAAGGTCATCTATGGCTACAACCATGTCTTCAAGCATGGCTAGCTCATCTCCATGGCAACTGAGGAGGCCTGTGAACTGGGCCAGCACACCAAATGTGGTCAGGCAGTGCACAAACAGAGGGTCTGTCTGTTGGCACCATAGTTTGGACATGAGGCCGGCCACTAGAGATGTTAGCTGAAACAATAACACTGAATGAGATGCAGCAACTTAGACTGCATTTGCATGCAGATTATTGAAAAAATTGGTACGTACACACTGTGCTCTACTCAAATATTGCATGAAGAATCTCACACTTATGCACTTTTTATTAGCAAGAAAGTCATTAAATGCAACATCATTTAAGCGTGTGAGTGGAACTAGTGTTATTTACTTCACTTCAGAATAAACAATGTTCCCTTTAAAGAAAACTGGAGCCAAAAAATAGTATCACTGAGGCTCCATACACGAGCCGTGTAGCTAAGCGAAACAACACCATGTAGTGGAAGCAGTTTTGTGCACTTAAAGAGTGGCTGTAGTAGCAGTTGTAGCAACCGGTTGTTTATGAAAATATAAAAAAGAAGTTAAGTAAAGGAAAAAGCAGGAAGGAAAATCCCTGACCATGCTGTGACTAGAACCAAGTCTGAGGAGGCTCGCAGGAAGTAAAGTCAAAGGGACTAGAAAGATGACAGCAAAGAAGGTGCAAGAGAGCTAGTATATTGTTATGAATGGGGCTTTTTCCCAGTATCCTACCGCACCGGCAGCAACATGGCCAACCTCCGTTGTTCAAATTCGGACCCCGAGCAGAGAAAGAGGCAAACGCTTTTGGAAAAAAAAAAACAAGTAGAGACGTTTATAGCAGGAAATAGCAAGTGTAGCAGGTTGTAGCGACAGAGTCAGCTGACACGACCAAGTCGGCTTGGGCGAGTGTCCTAACAATCGACCAGCACGGTCTTAAATCAGGCATGCCGGCCGTGGGCAAAACCGTGCAGGTGTGTAGGTGGCGTGCGCAGCCCAGAAGAGGAGGGGGACATGCTCATCGCCAGACAGGCAGGTCATTGTCTTTTTGCAGGTGTTTGGCCCCAAGGGGGAAAAGTGGGGGAAGATCTGTCCCAACACCCACAGATGGGTTGGTGAAGTGCACAACTCTAAGCCGGCGGTTTCTTGACCGTTCGCAGGTGTTTGACCCTACCGGGGGGGGGAAGCTCTGGCACAACAACATTTACATTTACAGAAAGACTAAGTAAATCTTATAAACAGTTCACTCGTGAAGCAACTTTCGTGTGTGAGTGAGTAATATGGTCCCAAAAACTAGCAGGGTTAGGTCACACAGAGCAGCCGGGTGGCAAAGAATGACCGCTTAAGGAGAATGCCTAACCCATTGTTGTAATAGCATCTTGCTGCTGTTAGCTGAAAGCCTCAGTATGCGGGAGCAGCTCAACATTTTAGAGGCAATAAAACTTGTTCGTCGTGTGGAGAGACACACAGCTGGTAGAGCAGCTATATTTAACAACTAATGTTACCTGGCGGGTACGATGAAGAAAAACAACTACAGGTACCACATGTACACAAAGTGTAGCAAGCATGTGTTTATTTCAACCACTAGTCTGGCTGCACTTTCTTCAATGAAGGATTGTAGCAAGTTCAACATTCATTGTGCAAGAGAAGATAATCTGGCAAAAGTAAGCAGTAGCACTCAGAGCGTGAAAAAAGTTGCAGTTCCATGTTGACGTCCAATAACGCGACTTTCTACAGCTGTGTTGTGAATGCTTCTTTGAAGGATAAGGACTGTGCTACTAACAACAGTAAGTTATTCATAAATATTCAGCAGTCACAAGTATTATTGAAATTTTACGAGTAGATTTTGACAGGGCTGACACAATGACACTTTTTCTAAAACCTCCGAAATTTCAGCTCTCATACCATGTGCATGATCACATTCTATACAAACAAATAGTTCCGCACTGAAGACACCACAGATATCAGCTTTTGACAAACGTTTACAAGTAACAATAAACACTTTCGATTTCTTAATGACAAACACTCACCGCTTGAGAGAAGCAGATATCTCGTCTCTGTCGAACAGAGTAACTCAGCGATGCTGATGGCGGCGGCTCCTGGTAGGTCAATGCGGAAATAAACAAGTTGATCTTAGTAACACAGAAAGTTTCCATGCAGACATGCTATTACTGTAGTGATAACATATGGGGTGCCTGCAAGTATTTGAAATCTCGGGGAAAACTTTTCTACTTTGCTTGAAAAGTTGCTACTCTCTGATTCAACAATCTGATATTAGATTCAGCATATGGGCAGCTAGGACTCTGCCTACCCTTGACAGGGCACATGCTTCGACTGACCACTCGAAATGCTCGTCACATGCTAATCAATCCTAAAGGTGATTTTTGCATTGCCCGTAGTATGCCAGAACATGGCAAACTATAGGACACTGAAACGCACAGGACGTAACACTGTATTGCGTTGTGTACTGTGTGTTTCACTGTAACATAGTTCGGACTGTTCTGCAATACTTTCATGAACCAACAGGTACGCTTAAGAACCCTTATGTAAATAGTACTGGCCTCAAAATCGGTTGCATTGTTTTAACTGTTCTTGCCCTTGATCAAGTATTTCAAGTCGTTGTAAAAGTGAGCTACAAGGTTTAGAGCTTGTGGTAGAAGTGCTAGAGATCCCTGAAGGTAGTTGCCACAGGAAAAAACAATGACACGATGATGTCCCAGATGGTTCAAATGTGCTGTGTACCTTGAGTGACAGCAATGCATAGGTGAACCGGGCCACTTTCTGGAGGCACGCCATAGATTGACGCAACTTCCGTACACTTGGCGCCAATTCGGCTTGCCAGGGTGACATGTCGCCCGGTGTGCTGACCGGGGTCAGGGGATCGAGCAGCTCAGACTCGTCCACATGCTGATCGTCATCCTCATGAGCGAGATGCTGCACCCTCCCCACCATGCACATAATGCTGGCACGGATATTTAGGTGAGTCAGGTCCTGGAAGACCAACGTAGAGTCAAGCCAAGATTTAATGAAACCTAATTTTCTAAAGTTTCAGGTTGATATTGAAGCGCTGGCAATTTCCTGACACAGTCTAATGCATTTAGAACATTTAAATAATGAAGCCAACTTAGCACCTCACTTAAAAGAAAAAGTGGCTCCATTTCATTGAAACATTATACAACCATTTGTAGTCAATCGTCCCAAACTATAGCTTCACACAGCACAGGGCCTACTCAGCTTATGCTGTCACTGCACATTCACCATGAGAGCATTCTTCATACCCACTCCACGCCTGACCATGCATGGATGTCATAATCTTGAGCCTTGCAAGCAATGTGCCTCCCGTTTCTTCATAATGCACTATCAGTCGTGCACGAGTAGGCAGCAGCGGATGGCAGCACATTGTACTCGGGTTGCCGCCTAATAAAGGCATGCAGCACACTTACAACAGTGCTATGCTGGTTGTATCGCCTGCTCAGACTTCTCATGATAGTGTCAGAGCAGCAAGGTGTTTTTCGTTTCTACACTGTGATGCATCGTAAAACTTGAAAGCAGGGTGGTTCTGCACAAGGAGGCAGCACAGTGCACTAAAACTGTCGCTTATCAAGAGCATGCAGTATGCTAGGAACAGGGCTGCACTGCACATGCAGCCGAGCAGGTAGCTGAAGATGCTTATTGTGATAGGGCTGTCAGCTATCAGTCCCAATGTTGCACTCATCAGTGGCTTAAATTTCAGATTTGGTTTCTTTCTAATGCTTACAGGCAAAGGCATTGGCTGAATGCCACACAAGTAAGAGTCCTTGATTAAATGGTCTGTGTACTTACTGAAAGATGGAAAATACCTTTTGTGGCACATTGTGGAGTCATCTACCACACAGCAACTTTAGGGACGTAGTTTATGTTATACAAGAAAATGTTACCGCAGTACAGGCTAACCAGTGGGCGAAAAAGGATCCACTATAGCTTAAGTAGTCAGCAGACGCATTAGGCTCTACAAGAGACTGTCTAGGATTGGTGGCAACTGTGTTTTAACAACAGCATAGTGGCCATGCATTAATGAGGTTGTACAGTACAATATATGTACAACGTGCATTTATGCAAAAAATGACACTCACGAGAGGCTCAAACTCCTCTGAAAGGCCAGAAAAACGAGATTCCTCAGTTGAATACATAGAGTCTGATTTGTGCAGCTGAGGCATAGGGCGAACTTGAGCACTGCACACATTTCCATTGATGGATAATGAATCAATGGGGGCTTCATCACAGGAGGACTCATCAGACGGGGAACCTGCAAGAAGACGAAAGTATGAACACACGAGAGAATTACATGTTCGATACATGAACAAGTGAGGGGCGATTTCTTTTTGGGAAGAAAAAAAGAACATTTCTGCAGTGACGTTACGAACTGCGAGACTGAGGCAACTAATATACTAACTGCAAAAGCTTTCTTGTGCCCTTACTCAGCCGAGGTACAACTTGGCACGGGCAACAGCAATAAATGACGTTGGAGGTCAGCAAATTAAATAATGCAACAAATGTGCTATTTCTTATTCATATATGTCATGACATCACAGATTTTACATTACTCGATGATATCGATCTGAGTTTGAGAACATGCAAGAGAAATTTCTTCTTGACACGAATGATAGTGCATGCAAACTTTTCCACAAGACATGCAACATCATCATGGAGCTATGAAGTAGTTCATATGATGGAGAAATCTAAAAATAATAATAATAGTGGTTGGGGTTTTACAAGCCAAAACCTTCATATGATTATGAGGTGCGTCGTAAAGGAGGGCTCCAGAAGCTTTGACAATCTGGTGGATTTGTCCAAATGAGATCGAACGCGAGTTCCCGGTCACAATTCTGTATTTCGATGAAATCTACTATAGGCCTTGGCATCAGCGCCAGAACAATAGTTTCGAAGTTCAGACTTGAGTGCTTTTAATAGGCCACTAACATTTCATTGCAATAACAAAGTAAAATGAAGTTTGATGGAACTGCAAAAATTATTTGCGAGAAAAGCATGAGTATCATAGTAATTATTATGTAGTTTCATTATTTTAAATTTAGGTTGTTTGTACCAATAAATTCCTAAAATACAGGTCTTTTGGGTAGTTTCACATGTTTGTGATTTTTTTTCAGCAAGTAAGGAAAATAATAGATTGTTATGATTCTATGTTACTTGTTTCTTAAAAGGCCACTCACCAGGTTTGACAATTTTGAGCTGACAAGCGCAATGCCTAGATGCGTTCACGATCACGTCTGCCATAATTTGCAACGCTACGCGCCGCGGAAATAGGTCAAATTTCAAGATAAACACTGCTCTCCCTTCTTTTTGCGGGCGCGCACCCTGAAAATAAGGGCATGATGCGCGCGTATGAATGGCCCTACGTGCACGGCAATGCGGCGACGTTGGTCCTCTACATAGACAACTCTGCTTTGATGTTGCCAACAGTGGCACGTGACATGACGAAAATTCTTTAAAACGACATGCGCAGTTTATGTATTTGATGCTTGAAGAGATTAATAAATCTCTAGATAAATAATGAGACGCAATAAGAGAATGTGAGTGTTCTTTTTTTTTCTTGTTTTCCCGTGAATTGCAACAAAATTCGAGGCTAATGTGCAGCCGTAGACAGCCGTAGAATGCTCCTACACGTTCGTGCACTCCTTGTGCTCATCTATTCTACCGCGTCTCAGCCAGCGTTTCCAAACCATCCTGCAGAAACAGGCAGTAGACCTCAAAACAACGCTGGTCAACAACAAAAAAAAAAAACGTCGCTCGCATGCACGGGGGCTGGGCTTGTTCGGGCACGTCATGCGCTGTTGAGTAGCGCCGGGCCTATCCCGCCGCTGACCTCCACTGTTGAGAACGACGGACCGATCCCACCGCTGCCACCACTGTTGAGAAACGGCGGACCGATCCCGCCGAAGCCACCACTGTTGCGAAAGACGGCGACGCCAACACGGCCCCGGAGGCGCCACTGCTTTCAACTCCGCCGGGAAGGTCACCAGCCGTTTGGTAGCGTATGTTTATCAGCTCGCGACTGCTTCTGCGCAGAGCTGATAAGACGAGCGGACGAGACGACGGTGAGTTAAACAAGGTTTATGTACAGCATATATACAGAGGCGTTACAATTTCGGCACTGGGGCCGGCAGAGACTCGAAGAGCCGAGCTCCTCTCTCTAACACATAGGTCAGCCTTTCGCCTAAAACCGCTGACTCACACACATGTCGGCACTCCGACACGGGGACTCCTCTCCTAGGATCTCCGATCGCGACGCGCCGCAGGGCTTCTTTTATTTACACCGGGCCCAACTAAAATGTCCAATCAGAAGCGCCGCTGGTCTTCCGAGCAGGCTCCTCCAATGGGGTTCGCCGCGCGATGCGTCAGGCCACCAGACATGAGGACGCCGGCTCGCTGTCACGTGCGCAACTGACTCAATGCACGTGGGCCACAGATGCGCCGCGCGTGTTCACGCCGTGGAGTTGTTCGCGCCCGGCGGGCTGCGGGCTGGCCTTGACCCAGATTGCCTGTTTCAGAGGCACGGACGTTTGACGAGGACTCGCTGGCATAACAGCACCCCCGCCGCCAGACAATGCACCGGAAAGACGAGCTGCTTCCACGGGGCTCGGATGTCAGGTGCGCTCGTTCGCCAGGTCCCTCCAGGTTCGCCTCCAGGGCCATGGGGAGAATACAGCTCCAGACTGTTCCGGGAACACATCTCATCATTGACGACGGATCCCCGCTCCACTGGCTTGTCGCCACAACTTGCTGGCCAACTTCGCTCGTCTCTTCTGACCATTTTCGGTTTCAGCACTTGTCGATGGTTCTGCAACTTGCTAAGAACGGTTCGACAACAGACAACACACGACACAAGCAAGTGCCCTCGGTCACCCGACAGAACACCAGACAAAGTATAGAACAACATATACCTATCTACGTGTCTATCGGAATTTCGTTCCCTCTACATCAAGAGGCACATGTGGGACAAAAGACTCCTAAAGTAAGAACTTGAATTTTTCACAATTACAACAACGCAACGAATTAGAATACCACATAAAGTTGGCCCTTTGAGAGCACTCTGAACGGGAGCGCTCAGCCCAGGTCGTGATGAGGTCAAAATTTTGCCCCGAATCGCCAGCCAGAAACCGAAAGGTTGAGAGGGTACTAGCTAGAACGCACTGCTCAATGCACCTGCATTAGCGTTTAGCTTTCCCTTTTTTTTTTTTCTTTAGCGAACGTCAAAGTTGCGCTGTGGAGCAACATGCTCCACCTCAGTAACCGGCCACTTTTAGGCGACGATACCTATGCGGCACCAAGAGCGGCTCACACTTGCGACGTTGCACAAGGGAACAACGATACGGCTTGCTACTGATTGACTCCTCACCGCTTAGCTCGATATCGTGTTCGATCACCCTCACGTTTCCGGGGCGGTCCGAAAACACGTCTTCAAACTCGGAACCAATCTTTCTCAGGTCCTCTTTCTCAGGTCCTCCTTCACTTAAGCTAGGCTCTAGGTTTATCTGCTCCCGGATTACTTTCGATCCCCCTTCGATTACTTCACTAGAACTCAAATTTTCTGCTTCCTCTTCCTCCGAAGCCTTCAACCGCTGATTTACGACCGCTTGATGTTGAACATTGGGTTTCATCAAGTTGTAAATTTCGTTCTGCCGCCCTCCTACTTGCACCTCATAATTTGTATCGCAAGGCTTCGATAATACTTTGGCGGGCCCTTCCCAATCAACCTCAAGCTTGTTCCTTTTGGGTGGCTGCAGCCGCATTACATGATTATCAACTTCAAAAGCGCGCTTCTTCCCCGATTTCTCGTAGTGCTCCTTCGACAGCACTTTTGCCGCGTTTTTCTGGCTTTCCACGAGCGCTTCAATTTGGCTTTCCACTAGCGCTTCAATCGAGAGATCCTCACTCTGCCCTCGAATGAGCGTCTCTCGATCAACTCCCGGCAGCTCGCTCCAACTTTCCGCTACAGGCGAGAGCGTTGCAACCCTCTCGCTCTGACTCAATGGCGCCACGTCGTCTCCCCTTTCTCCGTAAACCGTGCCGGTCGTGTCGACGACGGGCCGCTCGCGTGACTGCTCCCATGACTCATGCGGAAACTTTCCTTTCTGGGGTTCCGTCGACCCGCCGACAAGGTCACTTGAGAGTTCACCGCATGGAACCAGATCAAGCTGCCGCGATAGCTTCCGCGCTTGCGATCGCGTGAGAGCCATGCACGCTAAGTTGGGGAAGAACGATTTGCCCTGCTCTTTGAGAAGCTGCTCCGAGTTGTTGGAGAAAAGATAAGGAAAACGATCGTTCAGCGCGGCAGACACAGCTGCTTCGGTGCAAAGCTTACCGAACGGGCCTTCAATGACAACGGTGGCGATTGGTAAGCGAACACTCTGCTCCTCGGCGACCTGCCTGATCCACGCGCATTCTCCTGTGAAGTCATCCGGAGACACCAATGAAGGATGGACAACGTCCATGGTTGCCGCTGAGTCTCTAAGTGCTCGGCACGTTTTCTTATTCACCCTAATTTCTTGGAGATACGGCTCCAACAACCGAATGTTTTTCTCTGATTCTCGGATCGTTGCGAAGGCAAACTTTTCCTGACAGTTTCTCGCGATGTGCCCTTCCTTTTTACAGTTGTAGCAGATTAGCGGCTTCCGTTTGTTTTCCGATTCAAATGCCTGTGTGGTAGAAACCTCACTCGATTTCTCCGCTTCTGCTTGCCCTTCCCCTACACTGTCCTTAGTAAGAGATGGGTCCTTTTTGAAATTACGGTGCGGAGCGGGTTTCCGTTGATCAGGTTTCTTTGAAAAGCCCTCCTTTCTTTCATCCTTTTCAACGCGCACTGCCCTGCTATGCAACTTTCGGCGAGTATAATACTCCTCAGCTAACTCTGCTGCCTTGTTTAGCTGTACTTCACCAAGTTTGTCCTGCAGCCAAAGTTTAACATCCTCCTCGATGCAGCGGTAGAATTGCTCCAATGCAACGCATTCCACCACTTTATCGCGGTCGTCATAAACACCTTCGCCCTTGAGCCATTCGATCAAATCGGCTTTAAGACGAAACGCGAAGTCAACGTGTGACTCATTCCCCTTTTCAGCATACCGGAACCTTTGTCTGAAAGCCTCGGGTGACAACTTATAACGTCTCAAGAGCACTTCCTTAACCTCGTCATAGCTCTCAAACGCTTCCCTCGACAAGCAAGTTATCGCGTCGGACACTTCGCCGGGAAGAAGAGCTAGCAGGTTCCGCGCCCAAAGAGACTGCTCCAAAGCATTTCGCTCACAGACGTGTTCAAACTTGACGAGATACTTCGCCATGTCCTCGCCTACTACGAACGGTGGCAGTTGATCCCGAATTCTAATACCGCTGACCTGCATCGTCGGAGAAGCTGCGCTAGGCGCCTGCGAACACTGTAGGATTGCCAATTCTATTCGTTTCATCTCGAGGCGCTCCTGTCTCTCGGCCTCCTCGCGCTCGCGACGTTCGCGCCTTTCAGCTTCTTCACGTTCGCGAGCTTCTCGCCTTTCAGCCTCTTCACGTTCGCGAGCTTCTCGCCTTTCTTCACGTTCGCGAGCTTCGCGCCTTTCTTCACGTTCGCGAGCTTCGCGCCTTTCAGCCTCTTCACGAGCTTCTCGCCTTTCAGCCTCCTCACGTTCGCGAGCTTCTACTTCTCGCCTTTCAGCCTCCTCACGGCGTGCTTTAATATCCACCCAGGCCTCATCGACTTCCTCAGCCGACACTCCCTCATCCTTCATGATCTCAAGGATCGCTTGCTTTCGTTTCGCACGGCCCAAAGTAATGCCGAGTTCCTCACAAATTTCGATGAGTTCCTTCACTTTAAGGTTCTCCATCGTTCACACTAGCCTCTTGCTGTTTGCCCCTGTTAAGAATCTACTTGCCGTACCCACTATAAGCCTACTAGCAAGACGCGCAAGCAATTTTAACACTGCCGTGTTTACCACCTCCGCATTAACTTTGGTTTCAAAGCACTTCAACTTGGCTTGAAACGATCAAAGCTCACTCGAATGCTTCACACAGCCCTTCTCTAAACTACTACAACCTGAGCTAGAGTAGTCTGGTGAACTGAGGGGAAAACGTCAGGCACTCACCGCATCAATGTCGCTGACGCCGGCCGATCCCGCAGCTGCCAACCACTGTTGAGTAGCGCCGGGCCTATCCCGCCGCTGACCTCCACTGTTGAGAACGACGGACCGATCCCACCGCTGCCACCACTGTTGAGAAACGGCGGACCGATCCCGCCGAAGCCACCACTGTTGCGAAAGACGGCGACGCCAACACGGCCCCGGAGGCGCCACTGCTTTCAACTCCGCCGGGAAGGTCACCAGCCGTTTGGTAGCGTATGTTTATCAGCTCGCGACTGCTTCTGCGCAGAGCTGATAAGACGAGCGGACGAGACGACGGTGAGTTAAACAAGGTTTATGTACAGCATATATACAGAGGCGTTACAATTTCGGCACTGGGGCCGGCAGAGACTCGAAGAGCCGAGCTCCTCTCTCTAACACATAGGTCAGCCTTTCGCCTAAAACCGCTGACTCACACACATGTCGGCACTCCGACACGGGGACTCCTCTCCTAGGATCTCCGATCGCGACGCGCCGCAGGGCTTCTTTTATTTACACCGGGCCCAACTAAAATGTCCAATCAGAAGCGCCGCTGGTCTTCCGAGCAGGCTCCTCCAATGGGGTTCGCCGCGCGATGCGTCAGGCCACCAGACATGAGGACGCCGGCTCGCTGTCACGTGCGCAACTGACTCAATGCACGTGGGCCACAGATGCGCCGCGCGTGTTCACGCCGTGGAGTTGTTCGCGCCCGGCGGGCTGCGGGCTGGCCTTGACCCAGATTGCCTGTTTCAGAGGCACGGACGTTTGACGAGGACTCGCTGGCATAACAGCGCACATGACCTCTTGGTCAGATGCAGGAGAGGGTAGGGAAGAGATTTGGCTTTCGAAGGCTACGCGAAGGAGCGGCAAGAGTTTCGAGCTCGCCTCCTCTCATCCTCGTTTCGCGCCGCTTTAAAAAACCGTTTTCTCAGCTCGTAATGAACCGATCCGAACAATTTTTGTGGCGAAATGTTGCTCATCCGACACCCAACAACTTCCACGGTCTAACTAACATTTGGTATGGGGCCTGGTGAGTGGCCCTTTAAGGGGAATAAATGCTGCAACCAATAAGTGCCCTGTTTTTAACCTTAGGTGCACTCGAAAATCAGAAATCGTGAAATATACGGAAGAGCGTTTTTTGCCGACAGAATTTATATATTATTTTTTTTCCAGGCAAACAAATTTTTTTTGGTTAATCTAACTTCAAAATTATTGTTCTGGCTCTCATGCCAAGGCCTACCATAAGTATCATCACTATCGGGCATGGTGACCAGGACCTTGTGTTCAATCTTATCAGGCCACACACTGGTGTTCTTTAACATGCACTGACAACGCACCGTGCATGGACCTCTCTCATTTCGCCTACACCAAAATGCGACCCTTGCAGCCGGGTTAAAACCCGCGACCTTTGAGTCAGTAGCCAAAACAGCATAGCCACTGATTGACCGCAACAGAATGGGAATATTTAAAGCGATTACATAACTCTGATCAAAAGCATATGTTAACAGATAGGGGGAAGGGCATGCTCATACTCCACTTCCCCTCCCCCCTCTGAGTATAGTCCACCAGAGTGCTACTCCATCCACATGGACTGTTGTCATCCATCTTCCAATGCTCCGCTAAGAAATATGAGAGAGTTATGCCTTAGGGTTAAATAATTTGGCAATGTATATCACATTAAATCTATATAAGAAATTGAAATGTTGCATGATCACATAGGCGACTTAACGCAAATTTCATTTTGTCTCGCAAGATGAATAATGCAATAAAATCTTAAATGCAGTGGAGATATTCAAAGTAGGCTTGTGCCAAAAGTGAATTTTAGGTTTGAAGCAAATGCAAAGAGAATAGCAATTTTGATCAAACAACTTCGATGTGCATTCGATTAGAATACATATTGCATATTATAAAGAAAAATGGGCATATTTGTCATTACGTAACTACCCTACACATTACTGTAAAAAAGACTGAATCAAGGCCTGTGCAAATGCTCCTTTTTTTTTACATTGCAGAAAGCGGAAACAACTTCGAATAGTAGCAGGATTTGACTTTCAGTAGAATGCAAGTGATAACCTGTAAAAAATGCGAGGTTTTAAGATGTACTACATTTATAGTATACAAGTCTACGTAACAAGCTTTTAAACTAAAAAAATTTGTGAAGGAATGTGAAGATAATATCCTGGTTTAACCTTGAAGTGAGGCTTCACGACAAGGCAGATTTTTCCTAAAATAGTGCTTTTGCGTTTTAGCAACGCTCTACTGCAGTGAAACCACTTTTACAAAGTGTCACATGCAGATTAATGTGCACCTATTCGTTTGTTTTGAATAACTCGAAATTTTCAATAATTTAAATCCAATTCGAAGCAAATTCAAATACTGCATTATTCCTTCGAATATTCTAAGCATTATAGTATTCACACAAGCCTAATTGAAAGAGAAAAGGCAAGCCAATAATTTAGTTTTCTTTACCAGATGATGCACATGGTGGTGCAGGAAACTCTCGCGGCAAGGAAGCCGACTTGAGCCGTGCCATTGGTGGAGCCCGGAGGGAACGCTTTGGAGACGTCTTGCCGGCACCAGAAATGTCATTGTTTGGCTGGACGAGACGAGCCCCTTCCCAAATAGTCAGTGCTTCGTCAACCAATGTTGGGTTGCACAGTGTTGTCAACTGCTTTGCCTGGTGTGGAAAGACAGCAGAGATGCAGGTTACAGCACCACTACTCTTGACTGGTCAACAAACAACATGCAGTGATGCAGCCAGCGTTTTCATGCCCAACTGAGAAGCCGTGCTTTCATAAACATCATAGGCCGAATCATGAAAAAAGTATTAATTAAGCTTTTTCTGAAACTACACACTTGTGATGTCATCCTTTTAAAAACCTTAGTACTTCTAGAAAAAAGAAGTTCATGGAAACAAATTTCACAACCACCTACCTGTGGCATAAAGTTTTATACTGCCATGCATGCTTGAGAAGTGTGACTGGGCTTTGGCCACAAAAAATACAAGCAACGCTCGGTGCAAGCCACACAAAGGCTTCAATCTGGTTACAAATTGTTCTATTAAGATGTTAAAATTCGTTGAAAGACATGAGTGGTAAAGTTTATTTGAAAGCTAACACAAGCCCTGGCAGTAACATTAAAAAGTTTCATCACTAATGTATAAAAATTGGCGCGTTCCACAGATGACCGGTTTGCAATCAGTGAAAAACATGCCTTGCTTGTGCTTTGAGCTGTTTAACAAATTGTTCCTTGTCCGATTGAACTAAAACTATCATCATCAAAAACGGGTATGTGCCAAAAATATTGGCACCACTTATCCACAAAAACGAAGGCAACAGCAAGCCCAACAAGAAATGGCTGCAAATCGACAGCACCAAGCTGAAGACCTCGAGTGTGGGCAATGAGAGTGCTAGGTAACTGGTGAGGAAATGGCAACTACAAGAAGACCCGAAAAAGATGGAGGGCCTCGGCCAACAACGACATGCCCATAGATTTACGAGACGTGCGAATGCTTGATTTCAGCATGAGTTTGGGACATTCGCGTCATTTAAGCGACTGTTTGTCTAACTCAAGCCTCCAGAGTCGATGTAGAAAAAACATAGAATCACCTAGTTAAAGCTTGGTAACAACTTGGAAGCAACCAGCTTAGTTTTCAGAATTGTCTAGTTTTTCTCTTTCAAGCTTCATGTGGCTTGCAAGCTTTGCCAATTTTTCAACTTCTGGGCACAAGTTCATGCAATAAAGATTTCGATATTCACCAGTCTTACCACAGCCTTCTTCACAGTCACAACCACATGACAATACAAAGGAAGTCTACTTGGATTTTTTGGAAAGACAGGCTCTAGATATATAGATGAAAAATTTGTCCTGATTTAAGGCAAATATTTATCCACCTTTCAAGAAAATTGCTGCACACGCCATGCACAACAAACCTTGTCACTAATCTTGATGGCTGCAGCCTCCATGCCCACGATGTCTTTGAGGTCGGCTAATTGCATCAGCTGCTGGACATCGGCTTCGATGTCTTCCCTGATATGTTCAATGCTGAGCACAGCCTGAGCCGCTGTTGATAGCCGGTCAGGACCCAGGACGGACGGTTGGCCCTCCCGCCTGGAATGAAATGACAGGCACGGCATGTTGTGCAATTTCAGAAGGCTTACTTTTCAAACAAAAAAGACAAAACCACTGCAAGGGCTGCAAGCACTGTATTCATAGAAGTTGATAATGTTAGTTTCCCACACAAATTAAGAGTGAATTCATGATATTACATCATACTAGCTGCACCAGCTCGGAGCTCGGCAACAGTGGTGAAATCTCAGAAGTCGGAGGTCACTTTCAAGACCCCTCACGTTACGTTACTGTTGCAAGATACAGCATACAACATTGAATCGTGCAAGTGAACGAAAAAAATTCATATAAATTCCTCGATACATGCATGTTGACAGGAATCATCTCATAGGCCGTCTCGGCCGCTATATTTTGTGTCAGCCCTCCATTTACACAATCTCAATGCATTAAAGCTCACCTGGTAACATTATGCCACAGATAGTACATTAAACGGGCAACTTTGGTGCATTATATGTAGACAGTTGTGTAGTCAGGGCATGGCAACCAGGCCTGTGTTCCCCCCCTTCTTCTTCCCCCCTCACCTTTTTTTTTTTTTTTTTTTTTTTTTTTTTTTTTTTTTGCAATGGCGTATGGAGCACAGAATGAAACTGGACCAAGCCCACTTGCCCAGCCTCCACTTGAGATCAAGGAGGTGCCTCCCTTTAAAACAAATTTCTGCCTATGACCCTGCATGCAGAACACCCGTTCCTCAGCAACTCCTTTTAACCGCAGCATCACATTACGTAGACTGTCACTTGAAAATCAAGTCTAAATAAAGCCATTAAGCAAAAGTAAACGCGCCCAATGAAAGTAAATGAAGAAGAGGTAAATCAACAAATCAGTGTACAAAATTCTTAAGTAACAAGTTTACAAAACACAACAATTGTACAACTTTTGTTGTCTTGTTAATTCAAAACCGAGCAGTTAGATTCATCTACTCAGATTACTCGTATCATACCAGTGTTACCACCCTTAAAAGAATAGCAGATCTACCTAACCTTGACCTACGCCGTAAGGTTTCCAGACTATCCTTGTATCACAAAATGTATCATACGTTTCATTACAACTGTCCCATTCAATCAGCTCATCGTACTTCAGCCCGCACAAGCCACCACAAGGCCGTGTACCCACCTCCTGCATGTACCACAGCCCACCATCACTCCTTCTTCGCTCAAGCAGCCAGGGACTGGAACGATCTTCCCCCAAGTGTCATCCATCATAGCAACACGGATAGATTTAAAAATGCCATAGAATCATTGTTTTATTAACCCTATATTGTTTGCCCACACCCTCATGTAAAGCCCCCTGTTGGGTGGCCTTTGAGGTATATTAAATAAATAAATAAATAAATAAACTGAAAAATTGATATTGGCATTTCTCAATATTGGAAGGCTGTACTATCTCCCGACAACACCATGCACTTCACAAAGAAACCTAATGTGTGCCCATAATTAGGTTTAAAAAAAAGCTATATATTAGTGACTAATTAGGGACCATCTTTCCACCCATCTAACAGCAACGTAGAAATACTGCAGGAACAATGATATGGACTTAAATGCATCAAGGGCTCTTCCTATTGTTGCTAAAAATAAAAAAGAGTGCGACTCACTGTAACAAGGGGTAGGCATTCTTCAGCTGATTTAATAGTTTGTACAGACCACCATGCAGGAACTTTTGGGCATAAGCAGTAAATGCCCCCACTGTGACCACATCGTAAACGCATTCTGTGAAAGACAAATAACAGAAGAGTTGCTTAAAAAAAAAGATAGCTGCAACATCTTTCAACCCGAAAATTCAACATGCTTAGACTAGGAAGAGTTTGTACACTAATACCAATTTATCACAATGTCCCAAGTTACCATTCACCCCTTTATCCTGGAGGTGCAATTTTTCAGAAAATTCACAATCTTGCAAAAAAATTCTGCGGAAACCCGCAAGGTGGTGGAACAGTTAAGAAAGCAAAAGAAGCCAGCCACCCGTTTGTAACACGAAGCCATAAGGGATTCCGTACGGATTTCTCAGAAAGAAGCTCCTGACTTGCCAAAAAATTTGTCCTGACCTGGGGTTGGAACCCGGGACCAACACCTTTCAGGGTGGTCGCTATACGAATTGAGCTAACCAGAGAGCTAGCAATTGACAGTGATAGGACGAATTCATTGACAACTCGAAGCCCATGATTTAATTGATATGTGGTGCTTAACGTCACAAAACCACCATATGATTATGAGAGACGCCGTAGTGAAGGGCTCCGGAAATTTCGACCACCTGAACCGAAGCCCATGGACAGATTGACTTCGTGCTACAAAATGGTGGTTGTCTTCTTTACCTTTCTCAAAATTCACAATACTGTATAAACAGTATGAATGAATGAATAATTGTGCCAGTTGATAGACCTTTAAATAGTACAGAAAAGACACACACACCGACCACTGCTTAAAGCTTGGTATATGTTGCTTCCTCGCTTTTGTGCTTTGTTCAGACATCACGTAAAGAGCAGATCCCAGACATACTCACAACATTTAATTTGCAAATTTAAATATTCATTAAATTGTGGGGTATAAGCCTTGAACCTGCATTATGTGCAATGAGTAACAGCATCATAAAGGGTGCCATACGAGTGTTGAAGATTGAGCAAGTTGGTTTCTCATAACTTGAACTGGTACAGTGCATTATGGGAAAAGAAAAAAAAACATCTGAGCTAGCCAGATGAGAGGACACAGCACTACGTTTTTTTTAAGGGGCGAAGCTCCTTAGGGCGTGGGCTGTGCGTCCCCTGTAGCCTGTATGTAGCCACCTCTAGTTTAGTTCTTGCAGTGTTCACTAGATGGCGGTACCGTCCCCTGTATGTAGCCACCTCTAGTTTAGTTCTTGCAGTGTTCACTAGATGGCGGTACCGTCTCCTGTATGTAGCCACCTCTCGTTTAGTTCTTGTAGTGTTTACTAGATGGTGGTACTTGTAGCTGATGATGAAAAGATGCAAGATGTTATAAACTAGAAAGCGGTACTTGTAGTTAATGAAAGACGCGAGATCTTATAAAATAGGAATGATGTCACATATGGCGCGTGTCATTGGTTGAAGGCAATCGTTCGATTTAGTGCGGCGACGTACGCTAGGGGGAGCGATGTAATAAAATCGAGTGGGCAAAATGTACAGAGGATTCATGGTTTACCAGGTTTACCTCCAGAGCTTCGCCCACTCATCATCATTCACTTCGTGGATATGGCGGAATTTTTTTTTTCATCTGGCTGGATCGGATATTTCTGATTGTCCTATGATGCGCAGTGCCAGTTGAAGTTTGCCACATCAGGAATTTCATCAACTTTTGTTCTCTATTGTGCACTTAAATCTGAGTACACAAGTGTGTTTCATCTTCACACAATGAATCAAAGTGACGTCTTATTTCTCACCCACGAATCCTCATACTCTAAGAGCTCCGTGAAAAGTATTAGAGAACACAAGTTTTTGCAAAGTATTCTGTATTGGTAGCAATCTTTAACTTACAGTACCTCCAGTGGCTACTGCAAGCTGCTCCTCAAGTACCAAAACTAGTGAGTTATGGCATTCTATATGTATAGTGATCTGTAGTATTTCTTTAGTGGTGAGCAATGTCCCGGGTGAATATGGCAATTGCTTTAGGCAAAAAAAATTTCCAACAGCTGCTCAATTCCTTAACACTTAACATCCTAAGAAATGAATCCGCAAATATTGGGCTCACTCTTGTGGCTAGTTGTGTTGTGGACCCAAAGCCTCTGCAGGTGCATGTTGACAGGGGCAAACTCAAGTGAGACGAGCCCTTTGGACCGGGACGGTTTGAAATGGGCACCCCTCTGCTTGGCCAGGTTTTCCAGGGCCTCTGAGTAAGTGTTGATCCGCAGAAGGTGACGCTCTATGGCTAAAAGCTGCTTGGCTTGCCAGTCGGGGCTCAGCTGCAAGATGAGAGCAGAGGTAGCCCAAGTGTATCGCCATACTACTAAGAGACCCTGAAGAGCAATGCGGAATCATTCTGAAATTGTTCTTTGAAGATTGCCTTTTCCTTCTTGTTAACTGGGTGGAGAAGTGCTGACTAAAAGCCACAAGAACAAAAAGATCACACTTTTTCTTTCTAAACCTCATAGCACATGAACAGCACAGCCCTTAGTGTTATACCTACCTCATACAGCCAGGAGCTTTACGACAATGAACACAGCAGCAAGAGTGTCCGCCACAGGCAGAGCGCCCAGGGGAATGGCTGGCGCACATTTTCAGTTAAGTCCAGGGGGGGGGGGGGCGTACCGCAGGAAAAAGCAGTCTTTTATACATTTATAAAAATACCGCACGGGTTCCTATGTTAGGAACATTGTGTGAGGGGGGGGGGAAGACTAGTAATAAACAAGAACTAGAAAATTATGCAAGATATGGCAAACTCAACAATACAACAAAAAAAAACAGATGATTGAAAAAGGCATTGATAGACATGGAATGAAGCATAGGAAAACACGCTAAGCCAATTGCAATAGATACATACATGTGTGAAAAAGAACTACAGATTGGAAAAATATCTTATACAAAAATACAGCATAAATATATGAAATATTAAAAAGTGACAACTACTAGTATAGCAGTAAGACAGTGAATTTCTTTGATAAAGCACTTGTATGCCGAAAATCTATGAGGAAAAGAATAGAGTTAGCTTATCTCTAAAAGTTGTGGGCTCACGTATGTTTACGATGGCGTCAGTAAGCCCGTTCCACATTTTTATGCCCTGGGGAAGTGCACAGTTGTTATACGAGTGCGTTCACTCTGACAAGCGTTGAAAGCATATGCTATTGTTGAGAAGGCTCAAAGAGCAATGTGGTTTTGTAAGAGGCAAAGTGGTTTGACGGTTACTGTAAATTGTCTAGTGTAGCAAGCAAACTAAAGCAATATTCCTACGTGTCTGAAGGTGAAGAAGTGCAAGTGAATGCTTAATTTTTGTTACACTAGATAGTCTGTTGTATTCAGGAGCAATGAAGAGAGCTGTGTGATTCTGGACAGCTTCAATGGATTTTATGAGGTAGTCCTGGTGGGGAGATCAGATGGCTGATGTGTATTCGGGCTGAGGGCGTATGAAAGTTTGGTAAACGAGCTTGCGAGTAGTCACAGGTATACTGATAAGGTTATGCTTTAGGTAGCCTAATGTTTGCGATACTTTTGCAGTTATTTTGTCTATGTGCATAGACCACGATAGGTTAGGTGTGAAATGAATACCAAGATATTTGCAGCAAGATGTAGTTAAGAGAGCGTCATTTTTAAGGGAATATGAAAACGTGGAAATCGATAGCTTTCACCCAAAAGTCATGGTTTTGCATTTGTTAGTGTTCGAGCTCATAAGCCATTGATCGCACCAATGTGTAATATGATCGAGGTCACATTGACGCGCACTACGGTCACCGACCGTATCAATTTTTTTACATAGCACGGAGTCGTCTGCAAACAATCTGATTTTGGATGTTATCTAGGATGGCAGGTCGTTAACAAATATGAGAAATAATAGAGGGCCTAAGACGCTCCTCTGTGGAACACCAGAATAAACGTAAGTATAATGAGAGATGAAGTGCCTTCGATGACCGTGAACTGCTTACGGAATAACAAGAAGTTTTGAGGCCAGGAGACAGTTAGGGAATCAATATTTAGTGATGAAAGCTTTTCTATGAGGCGACAGTGGGCGACGCGCTCGAATTCTTTTGAAGAGTCTATGAATATACAGTCGGTTTGAGAATTATCATCAGCATGTCTGAATAAGTCATTAGTAAATTCTTAAAGCTGCGTCTTGCATGAATAACCTTTTCTAAACCCATGTTGGTAATGAAAAAAGAAATTATTAGATTCCAAATAACTGGTTATGTTTAAGACAATGACATGTTCAAGTAATTTACTGGGGATACTAGCTAGTGATATCGGTCGATAGTTAGTAACCTTGTTTTTATTTCCCGATTTGTGAACGGGAATGACTTTGCCAATTTTATCATCATATGAAATTTCACCTGTGCTCAACGACTGCTGAAAATTTTGAGCGAGAAATATACTCGACGGGATAACTGTTATTTTAAGAATTTTTTAGTTAATGTCGTCTGCCCCAGATGAGGTGGATATTTTTAATTTGTTGATTAATGATGCCATCCCTTCAGATGTAACATTTATCGGGCTCATGTACTCGTAGTTAACCTCTGGGGAAGAAGGCACATTGAGAAAGCTTTCTTCTGTAAACACAGGTGTAAAGTAGTCGTTGAAAAGGGTTGCAAAATCATTGCATGGAACGGCATTATCGTCATCGTCGGAAAGCGAGATGTGACATGACTTTTTTGAAGGCGAGATTGTTTTCCAGAATTTCACAGGATTATTGATGATTAATGATTAAAGGCCATGCGATAAAGATTTGGATTTAGCCCTGCCTACAGCATGCAAATACTTTTTTTCAGAAGCTTTACGTTTTTCCTTATATATACTGGAGAACCCGAGATCCTAGCTATTTTACATAGACGTCGCTTCTTATTTCTTAGTGCACATAGTGGTTTTGTGAACCATGGTTTTCATATGTTGACACAAATGGAAATCTTCAGCGTGTCTAATCCACAGCGTTAATGAATGTCTTTCTTGTATATTGGAGACAGGCAGGTGCCAATGGCTGGAGTTTTTTTTTTTTTCTTTAATTCAATTCCGTCTCTTTACCTACATTCACCGCAGCCCTCCACAGGCCTGAATGTGAATAAAGATGTGTCAATAACAACAGTTTAGTGGACGCACCCCGTGGTATGACCCAACTGCGCCTCATCGACAACACAACAACGATGCTAGTGGATAAAACATCTTTAACAGCTCAGCTACAAATGTATGGCAAAAATATTTTTAAAAATGTGTTCCCTGGTCATTAAATGCCTCTAAATCCCTAATAATAAAAATTATTGACCTTTCAAAAAATTTCAAGAAATACAATCTATGTAGCCATTACTTTGTGAAGCATTCCACCGACATACCTCTCTCAGATGAGTGACAGTGTCCATCAGCTGCTTTTCTTCATTTATCCACAGATTTCTGGTGTCATGCAAAAAGGTAGCAAAGAAGATTGACTGATGAAATGTTTTGACTTCATGGTGAAATAGATTGAGTATCACTTGTCAGTCAAGCTTGTGAATTTTTGTTACATTATTGTATGTACAAAAGATATTCAATAAAAAGCCTCTATTGAGGGTTTCAGCTAGTTGGACAAAAAAGGCACATCAAATTTAAAGGGTCACTAAATTAAAACAATGGATCAGTTAAGATAGATAAATTGTAGCACTCTAGCAACATTAGTTTCACCACCAGAGGTTTATAAACATAAGAGAAAATCAAGTTCAAAGTTCGATTTTTAAATTTCGTGCCCAAATCATTGCACATGACAACACGAACTTCAATATGCATTTTTCATATTTTTGCAGCCGTGGTTCAATAAGTGAACGGGCTCCTCAGAGGATATTTTTTTTTTACTTGTTAGGTACTATGTGGGGCACTGTGGACACCGGTGAAATTCACGATGCCATGTTGCTTAGTGCAGGGATTACAAGGTGGCGTCGCCACCGGCATTTTCTTTTGCCACTTTTTCTCGCTTACGAAGTGCGTTCTTACGGCAAGCGTGGGGATTTTGGAACTATCAAATTAATTTACGAATACGAGAAAAATCGTTCTTTTCTGTAGTGTCCCTTTGGGCTGTGTTTAAATGCAAGAATATATGTGGCTTGAACAGGACAACATTGCCTACTTGACCAATGTAAGAGACAAGAAAGGCTGCCAAGTCTACTACTTAAATTGCTGGCAGGCAAAACTTACAGGAGCAGCTGAGGGAAAGAAAAGGACAGCTTGCTCTCAGCCATGATTTCGTGCACTCGCAGTTCAGCCCCCAAGCCCGTGTGGAAACGATACGTCTTCGAGTTGAGGCCGTCAAAGATAATCCTGAGTTGGGCATGCAGAGGCGTGCAGGCACGACGTGGCATGCATGCCGGCAACGAGTACGTGCGACGCCGATCTCCCTGCAAATGTAAGAAGTCACAATTAAGGTCAGTGCTTATACGTTTTGTTGGCCAAACTTTGCCGAATCAACAGGAGTAGCAAAATTAAGGTGCTTGACAAAGCACAGTACACACTGCACTTTCTATTCCTAGCGGTGAAAAACTGAGTGTCCACCGTAATTTATGGTGTTTGAAAAAAGTGAACAATGTGCACGCAGGTGAGGCCAACCGATCACAGCGGTTTAGAGACAATGGTGTTCTGCCTTTGAATTGAAGGTAACCATAACAATTCCTGCTTGTAACACAGCTACATTACAATGGTAATGTAATGCGAGAACACCTGCATCACAAGCTTTGGGGTAATATAGTCTCATGCATTCACTTTTTGCCCTTTAGGCCTCCCCTTTGCTCTATGCCATTCCTCATAGCTAAAACTAGTATGTAGCTTAGAGACAATAAAACTCTTCCTTTAGTTAAGTTAAAGAACTTGGTCTAGTAGATAGCCTTTCTAGTTAGTACTATAGTTAGTACTAAATTACAAAAGGACTTACAGAAGGCCAGCCATGCTCACCTACACCTGTTCCTGAGTTTGTGCCTTTAGTGAAAGGCTTTCTCAGAAGGTGTTAACAGTGCATACAAGATTAATAAACAGTACAGGATAATCAGTCAAAAAGCTCTCCTTTGCCTCTGATTGTCCCACCTAAATTTCTAATCTTGTATGCTAACCATGCTTACTTACACCTGTTCATGGCTAAGTGCCTGTAGTGAAAGGCTCCCTCAGAAGGTGTTAACAGTGCATGCAAGAAATAAACAGTACAGGATAATCAGTCAAACAGCTCTCCTTTGCCTCTGATTGTCCCACCTAATTTCCTAATCTTGTATGCTAACCATGCTTACTTACACCTGTTCATGGCTAAGTGCCTGTAGTGAAAGGCTCCCTCAGAAGGCGTTAACGGTGCATACAAGAAATAAACAATACAGGATAATCAGTCAAAGAGCTCCGCTTTGCCTTTGATTGTCCCACCCAATTTTCTAATCTTGTATGCACTGTTATTACCTGCAAAATGGATTCTTATGAACTCACTCAAGCTTCAACTGTCCTGATCTGTTTCCTGATCTAATACTACCCCTTCAGTAAGTAAGGCAGTGCTTTTTACAAACCTCATTATCTCAAATGAAATCTGTCATCTTACCGTAGGCCAAAAGAGATCGCTTGCATCCTTTTTGTTCGCCAGGGTAAGCTCAGGTTCAAGTTCCCTGGCGGTAACGGTCACGAAACCCACATTTTCATAGGACGGTGATCTGCACATGGGTAAAAGAAAAATCCATTCATGACAGATAACATCCTGATGAAAGAACAATGAATATTTTATGATAAAACCAAACACAAAGATTACAGCTTCAGAAGTTTGTTTTAAAGAGGCTTAGCTGGCAAACAATTGCCAGTCACATGTGTAATTGAAAAATACAACAAAGTTTTTTTAAACAAGATAGACTTACATGAGGGCAAGACGGAGGAAGCAGCCAGGCATTTGGACTAGTGTGCCAAGGGCAAACGTGGCTTCGCCTAGCAGAGTTTTCTAAAAAAGCAGCAATAACAGGCACACAGGAAATGCTTTAATGAGAGACGTACAATAGGTTCCAGATTAAGTCCCAATACCATATAATCTCTGACAAGGGCGGCACTTGATTCAATAAATATTGAACTAATTTTCATGGCTGCTGCCCATATGTGAAGAAAGAGTTGACTAACTTCCTATCTGCTCCAAATAAACAATTTTATTGACGGCTGCGTGACAAGCTTGGGAAGCCTTATTTGCTAGCTTCATTTGTAAACACTACGAAGGTACACTTAGGGGACGATTCCAGTCAATGTGACATACGTTTACCAATTAACCCCAGTATAATCTCATTAAAAAAGCTGAAGGGATCAAGGAAATATGTTCCACTTAATGGGGGGTTTCATTTACTGATAAGGATGTATGCATCACATTTTTTTGCCCCGGGGAAAAATAAAGCCGAATAGAAGGAACTTTTTTAAACAGAGAATCCTCAACTGTGGTGTCTTGCTGAGCGTAAGTTTGCAGTTTCTAGAAAAAAATTTGTTGCCAATGTTCACAAACTAGTAGGTATCGACTATAAAACTGACTGGAATTTCTCGCTTGCTCTCATCAACAATAACAAAAAAACACTCGCTATTACACAAAAGAAGCAATACAGAGCGAGAAAGTTCTCAGAGCTATCTTGTTATCTTGGCACGTGCTCAAAGAGCAAATAAAACAAAAAAGCCCAAAAATCTACAAAAGCATTTTCGTTAGACTACTGGTCTTGAATGCAGTTCTTTGTAGATAAAAAATGCAGAAAACATGTCACTCACCGTAGAGGTAACTCGTTCCCTGACATCGTAAACACAGAGCTTGACCTCGGTGGTTGCACATGCTTGCTTTTTTAGGAATCCCACAGTGGTCAGGAAACACGGGTTGCTGCTCTTCTGCGCAGATAAACGAGTACAGAGGGCTCCTCATGGGCTGTTTATTGCGGGTCACATTTATCAACTGTGGCTACTCGACCTAGAAACTCTGAATAGTATCATTCACCCAACACAGCACTGAAGTAAACAATAAAATTGATCCCACTGACAATTAGACTAAGCAAAGCATAGGGGTCATTAATAGGAGTTTTCAACTATTGTGCAGTAATTATGATATAAACTGAAATGGATTGAAGTGCACATGAAATCACCCCATTTCGTTGATAAGATCCAAATCCACAGCTTTTTGTGTCTAATGCTCTATCTACACAGTACTTTTGACAGCAATTAGCACCCCCTATGCTTTCCATGGCCAAACCTTCTAGATTCGTTAGGTTGTGTCTAACAACAAGATCAGCCCCACGAAAAAATTTCTCTTCTTTCACCCAGCATTGAAGTGAAGAGAGATCTTTCTTAATATGTACAACAAGGCGATCGTATCTTCTGAACCATCTCATCACTGTAGTGAACTCGAGCTAATACAGCTTCGCAGTCATTGTCACCATCTGCCAATTTAAATTGACTCTAAAATAAACATCTCTAACTACCTTGTTTTACTAAATGTATTTGTCTTGAGCCAATGATGCAATCTTAAACAGCCCTTCTATTTTCAGCATTAATTCTGCAATTTCACAGACCATAGGTTATTTGCGCTATTGCTATAATATTGTATTATGCCATGGTGAAATTAGGCCAAACGTGAAAGGTGAAGATGTTCACTCAGTGACAACACCCAAGTTTTAAAAAAAAAACACTCACTATCATTGATTTCCTTAAATAAATCATGGTATGCATTTGTACAGCAAAACAACTGTGTTGCACGGTATGCAAGATGAAAATGCAAAAATGCAGCTGAAAGATCTACTTTTTTTAAGAACTTACTTCAACAACTTCAGTCTGAGCAAACTTGCTCCAGAGTCCATGCCGAGGCCTTCCAGTAAGAACGACAACAAGTGGGTTGGGGGCCTGGCCATCAGCATCGCAGCGCAAGTTGTCACATGCTGTGTGTGGTATGGAAAAGAATGATTTTCAACGTCCCATTATTCGATAAATTCACTTGAACTATAAACTGTGTAAGGAGACTCAGTGTAATACAGTGGTGGTAAACCTGTACCTACACAATATCTGACCTATAAAAAAAAATAACGCCACTGAGAAGTCGCAGTCAATAAACAGTGCAAATGAGGAATAAGACATTGTGTATACGAGTGCATAAAAAATATGTCTTTTAGTAGCTAAAAAATTTAAAAACTGAGCATCCAAGCTGAGAATTGGCATCTTCTGATGCTTTTTCAGTTCACATGTGCTCAAATGTGTTATAATCAGAATGCCAATATGACTTGGTACACGAATTCAGACCGCTTTTCTGAAAATGGGCCTAAGCACAGGATTTCCTGTAACTGCATATGCCGTAAACTGTTTGACTTGACTTTCATAATTTTGATATACCCCTCAATGATGTTACTAAATAAAAGATAAATTGAATATAACCAGTAATTTCACTGACAATATACACACAAATTTTGGTGTCAACCATTTCGAAGACAGCTTGGTGACAAGCATAATATTTTCGTTTTCTCTTGATCCTTTCATGTTCATCATGGAGTGACAGCCACTGCTAGAGCACCTGACATATGTTAATGCCTTCGTAGTCGACATCATATGTAAAATAAAGATACTGCCACGTGGTAACACCCCAAAACAGTTCACTCCTAAACACTTGATGCCTGGCTGATTTCTTTTTGCATTGTACTCAGCTGTGCTGGAGTATTAACTAGTTTCGATAAAAGCAGAATTAACAGAACAGTCTATTATGATGCATTTTCTTTTATTCCTTCCTAACACAACCTCTCTCTCTCTCTTTCCTGGAAGCACAAAAAAAAAAGTGAATTTTCACTCACCAAGCCCAAGCTCAAGGAATGGTTCATTTTGAAGTGGGTCTTTTTTGCCTGCAAAATGAACAGCATCAATGTAAATGAATAATTATAAGGGAAAACGATCATTTCGTACTAGCATCTCTATTCTATATTTTTGCTAAGAAACAAAAGAGCAAACAAAAGAGTTCAGATGACTTTACGTTTAGAACTATTCACTTTGTTGAACGGAGCAAATCAACAACTTTGAAGAGAATCTTTTCATTCACCAAATCTGCTAACTTGCTGCTGACTCACTCGAAGAGGAGGCATCCGCATCCTGAGAGCGCTTGCAAGATGGCCCGCTGTACAGGCCAGGGTCGGACTCTCGCTGACGTGACAGGAGACGGGAGCGGAGCATTTGCACTTCCTCCCGCACATGCTCGTAACTAGAGTCCCGCAACACGCTCGTCCATGCCTCGCGCTCTGATGAGCCTTGGGCTGCCATATGTATGGCCAGCTCGTCCCCTTCAAAGGCTGCGGAGTATTTTCCCATCGAATTCACCACACACATAGCGCATCTTTGCACGCCTAGGCCTACACCCTATAAGAAGCCTCAGAAATGAGGGTGAAATTGGGAACCATATTTGGCTTTCTCAATGACCTAATTTTATGGCTTAGTGCTATGATAATAGTTAAGTATAAGAGAGCAAAACATGCAGACAAAAAGGTGGAGCTGAACACGTGCTTCAGGTCAGCTCAGTTACTGCTTTGCATGCCGAAGTGTTCACCTTCAAGGTTTGATTGCCTTAGTGTCAACAGCAGTTAATGCCACTTTCGGATATCCTTATTATGTTCAACGGAAAGACAGTAACAGTGATGTAATGCTAAAAGAAACATAATTACACTAGAACCAATAATGCTTCACAATTATTATGGGTACTAAAGAATTATTTAAATTTCCACAGTTACCTAAAGCAATCGTAAGAGCTGCATAAGGAAGCCAGCTTTGCACTGTAACCTACAGTTTAACAGTTTAGCCATCTTTGCAACTCAAAAAACAATATTATTGTAACCTGGGCACAAAAATACAAACAACAATACTGGGCTCTTTACATTATAAATGTGTTCTAATGTATTGGTCAATGCGAAGCAGCTGAAATAGCCTATATATGTGACATATCACTTTAACGGGCACACGTCTATGGCATAACGGTTAAAGGAGCACTGACACCCAAACATTACACCTTGTTTTTTTCTTGTTGTTGCAATAAGTAGCTTACGACCCACTTATCACGGCAGAAAACTTCCTTTGCACAAGTATGCGACGGTTATTTAATTAAATCAGCTTCAGTTTCAAAGAGCATCGGGCTATGCAGGAGGAGTTCCGGGGGCAAAGTAAACACAACTGGCCATATGATCACGCAACACTGTGATCATGCAACACTTGCGCAACACGCAAGAGCGTACGGGAGCGGGCACTGCACTGACAGCTAGCACACGTGAAGCCGCAGGCACGGAGGAGAAAATTGCAGGTAGCGTAACCGCAAGGCGCATGCCAGCAGCTAGCTAACACAAACTTGTGATGTAACTTGTTTACATTGCACCTGCATTGATGTCAGCGTCGCGAGGGGTTCCACATATCGCTCAGTCGCACGGCGTGCACTTCAAAATTGGTTTTAAACATATTCTAGACTATATTTGCCCTTGATATCTCGTAGATGTGCATGTCTCCACATAAATCTATCTCGCTTATTATACTGCTCCGAAATTTTGTGTCAGTGCCCCTTTAATAGCAATTTGTTTCCGAACTAGACATGCCTGTTCAATTCTAACCGTGAAAATGTTTCTTGCCTGCATAGAATCGAAGAGTTGCCGCTTCCAATCTGCACGCTCGATCAACCTTTGCATTATTTTCTTAACATTCAATCTGCCCAGCGCGTACTGTGCCAATTGATTAGTAGCAGGTGTAAGCTCACTGATATCAGATGATATACATAATTGGATGAATCCAGTAAAAAGAAAAAGGAAAGTGCTGTTTAATTACTACAACAAAAATGAAGGTAAAGAAGCCAAATTGCCATTTATAAACCAACCTGATATACTTTTTAATGACTTTTCTGCCCCTCAGAAATAACGTAAATAAAGAAAAGTCACAGCTCACGGTCATAAAATTTTGCGAAAATTGTAAGGGCTCTCCAGAATAGTTAAGACATTGCTTCTATCGATAGGCCTACGACACAATACAAAAACTTCAAAATGATCTAACCCAGATTTCATTCTTCAAAGCAGACTAACATGTCATGCAAACACAACTCACCAATGGTAAAACAATAGAGGCCTCCAGAAATGGGACCATCCTTCACAGAATGACGCTCGAGAACAATAACTCCAACTGGTTCGGAACACTGAAAAATAAAAAGCCTGCCACTTTCTTTTCCCTCCCCCACAACAACACACTGAGCCAGGTTTTTCCCGTCAAAAAAATGACCTGAATTTTATAGCACGCTTTGTCGGTTGAAATGAAGCAGTCAGTTGCCTGAAAGGAACTGCACACACTGCACAGAGTGTTTGGACTGTACCGCCAGTTAATTAAATCTGTATTTAACATTCATTTCTTTATGCAGTTACATCTTTTTCAATGTTAATTATAGTAGGCAAAACTCAGCTACTACGTGTATCTCAATATACCAGCAAGTTTATTTCAAAACACATACTTCACTATTCAAACAATAAAAATTATAGTTGCATACAGAAAAAAGTGCCAAGTTTCTAATTAAGTTTGCCATCAGAACAACTCATTATCTAAAAACTGTTCATAATAGGTAATGTCAATAACAGAAGTCTGCACATGACTGCACATCGCCAAAATAGTCCATTTTCAGAGCATTTATGTTGACAAGCTATCCTTGAAGCTTTTTTTGTTGGTAAGAGTTTTTACAACAAATATTTAACTAGATACGTGTTTGATACACTGGAGCATATAAAACATTATTTCTCTCAGTGCTTTTGAGTCAGCAAAACATGTGTCTAGCTGTAGAGCTCACTCAATGTGGAAATGTTTTTGACTGACAAGGCAGAACAGTGTTAGCATCAATTAAGAAAATGTTGCCCAGGATTAGGAATTGCATTAGCACAAATTTTGAAGATAGTAAAGGCATTAACTAATTGAGCCATTAATGATATTGTAAATACTGTGTGTTACACTGACTGCTGCTCATTAAAACAGGAATTGGGTTGTTGAAATGTATGGTTTTCATGCAAAATATGACACATGAACGAGAAGACACGGTTGTGTGCCTTTTGCTTTTCTGTCATTCTAGTCGCACTGCAGCAAAATGAATCAGTGGCAACTAGCCCAGATGACTGTATATAGCAGTGTTTGAATGCATTTAAAATGCGCCAATGTAAGCTTAACTATCTACCATTAGCTGAAGCAGGCACCACCTAGAAGAAATAACTTCAATGAACTGTATAAGTTTATATTCAGGTGAGTGACCAAATGCCTTAAGCTCTTCAGCTTATTCCACAGAAACTGAAATCTCATCACCTTTATAAGGTGTGAAATTACAGCCTGTTTTTGAAGTATGTTGATACTCTGAGCTCTGTCTGTAGAAGCTGCAGTGTTCCACTGCTATGCATGAGGGTGCAGGATCGATTCCCAACCGTGGTGCCAGCATTTGAATCCGTGCACAAAAGACTCATGGATTCATGCTAAGGTGTTAGCACAGCATCCTTAGGAGGTCAAGATTAATCTGCAGTCCCTCGCTATGGCATACCTATGGTGCAATAATTGCCACGGAATGTCAATTCCATAACTTAATGTAAATCGGTGGAGCACTTTGACTGCACGAAAGAGAGGTTGACAACAGGTGATCTACCCCAGTATACGAAAAAGAAAAAGAAGTCCAGCTCGTCTGCATTTTCACTTCATCAGAAAGGAGTTTAATATTTAAAATATAAAAGAATAAAAGAAAGTGAATGTTCTTTTAAGCTGATCTACCCACCGCATTTAATCGAACCTTACCGGTCACCCTCAGCTTTTTGAAAATAGGAATAGGCATTTTATACTGACAGGTGTTTCAGGATGCTTCAATAAGGCAACCAAGCATGCACTGGGATCTGCTTCCAAAAAAAAAAAAACATCAGAGCACTGTCCCTATTTGTTACAAATGATGACAACGTAAAGGTGTACCATTAACTGCTGATATTTACTTTAAATTGTCATAGATGGTGTGTAGGTTTTCGTTGTTATCATTCAGCATAACTTAATTCGTTGCTGCCATGTCCCTCCTGAAATTGCCTCTTGTTTAATGGTGGTAATGGTACAAACAGCCAATATCATAACCACAATTTGTCACAGCTACGACTGCACCTGTGAGAGCTTAATACAGCTCGTCACACACAGGGAATCACGGCGACGGGACAGCTTGTAACGAAATGAAAATTGCTGCTCAAGGGCATTGCTCAGCTCTACACGCAAAATAGTTTATTATCTACATGAAATCACGATTTAGCAGCCCACTTACCGGGTCCTTCGTCTTGCAGTAGAAAAACAGGTTGCCTCTTAGCCGGCACCATCGTTCCGTGAACACTGAGTAATCGAAACCAATATATGTAATTAGTGCGCGCGATAGTAACACCCGTCAAACAGGACGAAATTGAGCGCCCGCTCGTTGTTTAGACCTGCGTAAGGTCAGCTACATCCAACGCGTCTAAATCCCCTGACAACGTTACAGTTTAACACTCCTTTCAACTGGCTGCTATGCGAAAGGAGGCCAAGAGGTGTTCACGAATACAAGCAAAAAAAAAGAAGGGAAGTTTACCATCGTTTCGCCGGAAGAGCCCTTCCTGCCGCTCCTTGATGAAGAGCACGCCCTCCTTTTCGAATTTGTACGACGGCTGTGATGCGACGGCGGCAATTTCTTTGGCATTGAATCGCATTGGCAGCGAAATTCATCCGGTCCGGCTCAAAGCAACCTGTAAGAGGCGCGCTATCAATCGCGTTGTAACGCGATCAATGCGGAAGCGGCTCGGGGGCAATCGGGGTTACACCATGTATGGCACGCCTGTGCTCTACACATCGCAATGTATCTTCCGCGCCGTGTAATTACTGACAGAAACGCGTATCACATCACCGCGTGCGATAACAGCTGACTGCAATGCTCGGAACGATCGCCCGCAAATCGGCGAGTGCGAGCCCGGCAACTTACCGCACCGCTGTTTCTTTTCCGGCGATCGCTGCAGTTACAGCGTACGAGCGAAACATTTGGCGAACGAAACCGACGAAACCTACGCATGTATGTGCGGGCTCCTTAATAAGAGCACGAAACGCCTTCGCAAACAAAAATACGCTTCAAACAAGAACTAACGCCAGCGCATAGCTGACGAGCAAGCCGCAGTATCGGCATCACTGTCTCGCACAGAATAATATATGCGATGTATTTAGTTGCTAAACTGATGAGTATTAACGAAAATATTATTAACGCAGTTTATATGTATTATTCTGCTACCTGTTAGTTTTGTTACTTTTGCGGAGCGCCGAGCATTGCGCCATCATCATCAACATTAACCGCCTTTTCTCGAGAGGAGTTAGCGGCGCTAAAAAGATTGTCTGTTGGAAAAAGAGTGGTGTATTTCGCATTTCCCTCCCAAGAATTGTGCGAGCAGCCGTGAATTTCTGCGGCGTCATTCACGTGATCATGAACTCCGAAGAAGAACTGAAGAGTTTTATCGAAGGTGAGACCCAGAAGCAACGGTACCAGTACCTCGTGCACGAACTCACGGAAAAGTGCTGGGATGTGTGTGTCGAAAAACCCGGCGCCAGGATGGATTCGAAGACGGAGAACTGTATCCAGAACTGCGTCAACAGGTTCATCGACACGACCAATCTCATCGTAGATCGTCTAGGGAAAACGTCCATGGATTCGGAGCTCGTTTAGTGAACTGATCCGAGCTTGAACCATTGTACTTGCACTTGACATTGAGAATTCACTGTCCACGTGTAGTGTGATCGCATCGCAATAAATGCTTATTTCATCAGTATTTTTATAATCCACTGTTTCTTGTGTCTGTTTTCGAATTGCTGGAAGAGTTCTGTCACGCTTCTACTGTCCTCGTCTTGTCGTGCTTATCGCTGTTACGTTGCGACCCCGTCGCACCAAGAGCACTTATTTCTACTTAGCAGCTAAAACCTACTTCAATTCGTAAAAAAAAAAAAAAAAAAAATTTGAACGTATTTTGATTTCATTCCGACGTATTTGCACCAGCGAACATCGCTCTTTAACTAAACCAATTCACAGGGAACCTAGTGCCATGAGTCATAGCTGTTCACAACTTATCTAATTTTTACATTACTCAACTTTTTTGGACTAAATGCCTCGCAAGGCTTCATCGTGGGAAACTATCGCTGCGCAACACGAGTAGTGTCGTACGACAAGGCAGCAGAATTGGCAGTCTTGCGTTTCATATACACTAAAACGAGAAAAACAAATAGCTCATCATCCCCGAGCAGCGTTAAGTCCATCAAAAATTCACACCTTATGCAGATTCCAGTTTCTTTTTTTCTTTATTCACTTCAAGCAGCTCAACACAAGCAAGCAATAATTTAGATAAGCTATTTAAGTTCATTATTACAAAAATAATGCGCATCACTCCAGCAGCTTCATAATGGCAGCAAATGCTTGTGCAGCAAGAAATGAGTCGACGATGTAATCCACGGGACCAAATCCATGTGAATAACTTCAGCAGATATAGATAAGCAATGGTGAGCAAGTACAAGCGTTCTCATACTTTAGGCCAATGTGCACATTTTGCTCGTAAATCTTTTGGGGTTGTCCTCACTATGGGAACACATCATAGCAGCCGCGAAACCTTCAAAAAGCCAGAAGCATATTGCGCTACGTTTTCACACATACAGCGCGACCTGCCAGGAGGCGTGCAATGCTTCAAAAGAATACAACAGAAATATCAGTCACACGTAAAACCTTGTTTTCGGATCTTTAATTCATGTCAACAATTCTGCTGCACAGATTTATAGAGCTTCAGCCTGCATTGTGCAGGTACTTGTGTGATTTGTATGCAGACATGATTTTTTTTCCGTTCCAGTGAAGCTGGCAGCAGCAGGTGCAAATTATACTCTTAGAAATTTTAAATACAAGTACTTCAAACTGCAAGGAATGTTCGAGCTTTCTGCCAGCTACAGATAATTTTTATGCGTACTTATTAACAGCTTGTGGGGGCCATTAAAAGTTTGTAGAAACAAGACATAAAAGGCACCACTCAACCGCGAGGCCACACAGATGAAACTGCACACTAGCAATGTCTTAAGCTTTGTAGATCCTATGTGTAACATCTTTTTCCAACAGTCATACGCAGGTGCACAGGGAGCGTTCAGGCACATGACATCGGAGTGTTAGCCAAACTGCATGGCATCGAGTTTTGTAATTGCGACAAAAGTGCTTTAACAAACTTTTTGTGGTTTGCTGATACCTGAAAAAGAATTGTTTCTAGGAGCCATGTTATGAGGCGATCATTTTGAGCGATAGTGTCGCTCCGCATGACACAAGTCGGAGCAAGCACTTGCACACCTTTCCTCAACCTGCCAATCAGCGCATTGAAAGCGACATTTCAACAATATCTCAAGAAATGATAGTCTCGGAATATGGCTCCAATTGTGGGAAAATATAATGCGCTTTCAATTTCAAAATCTTGTTATGGTTCTGTTGAAAATTGCTACAATCCTGTGGTGCCAGCAGACTCAGTCAGGTAGAAGTTTAGATGGCTGCAAAAGTCCAACTGAAATGTGCATGCACACAAGCATGTACCAATGAACATGCACTCTGTATCCTCATCATGAGCCACAAATTCAATGGGCCCACCATCGGAAAACATCGCCGAGTACATAAGAATGACTATTTCTTCAGCCCCTATCGGTTGAAGTGCTTTAGTCATTCGGGCTGGACCCCCGCGATAAAGGGACTATAGTATGTGAAGCGCTTTTCTAGTAGTTCTTGTGGTCCTAGTCCGGTTCAGTGCCGACTCCAACAATTATTACACGTTTGCTATAACATCATACTGCTGCTTCAAAATTATGCAAGTCTTGGACAAATTATGTTTGTAGCTGCTGAACAAGAAATCTCCAAGTTGGTATATTACTGCCTAAAGCTTGTTGAAAGAATAAGCAAACTTCTGGGATTTTATCAAAGAAAAGAAGTCTATTGAATGCAGACTAGAGCATGAGTGATACATGCCAATGCGATAGGGCAGTGTTCTTTCAGATAAAAAGAAATGTAAGGCTGCGCTCGAGCACCACTGAGTGCAAGTCTTACTCAAACACGGCAAAAGTATGTAGAGCAGCTACTATATCTCGCAATCTCTCTTCTCACATGATGCAAAAGAAAAAAATTGCTCGACATGAAGAGACACTTAAAAATAGGTCCTAGCTTATATAATGCAATCTTTTTAAATAATGAAAATCTTAGTCAACAAAACAGTATGACAACTGGAGTAGAAAGGCAAGCCTAGTTCAGTGTTTAGCTAGAGAGCACAAGGTTAACGGCATAAAAAATAGCGGCCTCAGCTAAAAGACTCCAGCTGCTTTGCCTTCCAGACCACACGCACAGGGTCTAGCTTAAGGTATAGCACTTGATGACTTGCCGCACGATTAGAGCGTGACCATTCATGGTCAGTCGAAGTGCAGAAAAGAAAAAAAAATGCTTCCTTGAACACATAAGAACTCAATTTTCTACTAACACACCGTACGCTATAATGTCGACAGAGGCACCAGCAGAGAGCAACCTTTTACTATTTTTCCATATGTACATGCATGCAAAAAACAAAATCCATTATGCCTTGGGCAAGATATGGAGATATGGCAACTGCACATAATTTTTGACTAGAGAAATGGCTGCAAAAAAATTTATGGCATGCAATAAGAAGCAACATATACAGGCAACAGGACCAAAAAAAGTATGAGGGGAAAGCAAACAGAGCATTTTAAGAGGCACAAAATTGTGCTCCACCAGGCAATCACATCAGCCTTTCCGTGTAACTACAAAAAGTTGGGACAACCTGTCTAAATCTCTTGAGATGTTAAAGACGTTGATGGCCATGCTTTTCCTTAATGATTCTGTAAAAACAAAGCAAGAACACAAAAAAACTGTGCTCATTATACAGAAACAATAAAAGCCAAGAATAACAGTGCTAAAGATAAGTGAAACAGGATCACACCAGGAAAAGGCACCAGACCTTCCACGAAGAAGTAAAATTCCCATCAGCATATCTGCTTACAAATAAACTATACCTATGGTACATACATGCACAGGAAAGCCAACAATGTACTGTAATGTCTTGGTGGTTATATGGGCTAGCCACAGTTACAAGTGAGGATTTTTAATTAAACCTCACTAATTCATCAATTATCTTATTTCACACTGGAAAAAAGTGTCCAGTGGATGCTGCCTCACCTGATATGTTGGCAGAGTGGAATGCTAAAGATGAGATGGCTGTATGGTACATGCCGAAACATAACGCTAAATTATATTAGGTATTATTTCTCTACAATATACAAAATTTTAATTATCGTTTGACTTGCCCAGGATAGTCACATCTTCAAGTAAAAGGAAAACACGACAAAGTATTGACGAGAAATGCTGTGCCCGCCATCAAAAATGAAATTCTCTGAATTCCATCTCACAGACTGGAAGAGAGGCTTGGGCTTAGAGATGCCAATAAAGAACAAGCACCTCCTGCAATGTTTTAGGCTTAGGCAGGGTTGCCTACTACACCCTGCTAATCTTTCTGCAATCGTTCTATTCAGCTGACTCGCACATGGCAAGATTGTCAGCGGACACTAAGCAGGCCTTCCAGCTTATTAAATGGCCAAGGCGAGTTCTTATCTTCACAGCAGTACGCAGAATTGGCAAGACAAAGCAAGTATAGACCACAGCTATTTCGTCACTCGATCACACTGCGCAACTTCAAGACATGAAGGCAATTATGCACTCCAAATGGCCTTTTTGACGTCCAACTCCAGCTGACATGTGGTGTAGAGTACCGCAATGGCCTCTACCTGAATACTTCGTAACTTTTTTTTTAGCTATCTACTCGCTGATCACAGTATCGAACCAGGTGCACGCAACTTAATCATGCTCATTAAAACTCTCGTAAATATTTCGAAAGCAATATTTTTCAACTTAGGAGTGTTAAATATGAAGCTGTGTGGACTTTCCACATCAAACTTGTGAAAGTTTGAATGTGAGGGCTGAACATAACAGAAAAATGTGCAATTTAATGACGTCGCAATGTCACCAACTTAGTTCTAAAACAGTGCAATGTGATGAAAAACTGAATAGCTTAACCACATGGTTCTGCATTCTTTACTGACTGCCTGAAGTTTTCTTTTATAGTCAAGTAGAAGAAGTCCGAAAAGCTGCTCCGAGGAGAAGTGTGGCAGCAGGCCTCTTTCATTTGACCTTGACGAACATGTGCTGCCACAGTGCATGGCGGAAACCACGACATGGGGATCATGAACATCACGCAACAGTTTCGGTCACAACCTCAGGGAAGAAACACCGCGGCTTCGCAGTGCAACCCAGACGGCTACACACGATGCCACCATCGCTGCAAAACGAAAACAGAGCACGCAAGAAGTGGTGACAACACTACTGATCACTATCAGAAAATGGTGGAAAAGAAACTGATGTTGCGAAAATAAAGAAAGGAAAAGCTTGCAGTTCAAAGAACAGTAAAAAAAAAACGAGTGGTTTTTAAGATACTGAATTAACCAAGTTTTTTCATATGCAGGGCTCCTATTTATGCTAAGTTACACAAAAACAAATGACAGCTGTATCTTGGGCACATTTGGGCGAGACCATGCTGTTGATTTACGAGTTGCCAGGATACTTACACAGATCCCGCCTAGCGACTTGCACAGAATACGGTACTGACTAACACCATTCCGCCCTGAGCTAGCGGCAAAAGGTGGGCTAAATTAGCATGTATCTCAAAGAAGGGATGAACAGTGCAAATATGTACACATCGCCTGCCCTTAAGTTTTCTTTCCTTTGCCTTGTGTTTGCACTGCTAATCCCTTAGTTTAACCATCCTGTATACTTGCCATGCTGAAATGTATCATGAATATTCCAAGCATTTCGATGCATAAAATTGTCTCCAGTTATGTTACATCAATTATCATGCCCGACATGAGTGCTTAAGCATCAATGCAGTAGTACAGAACCCTCTTGTCGCACAGTGGAGAAAAAAAAAAGCGTGAGAAGAGGATCCAGAAAGAGTCTTTGCTGTTAACAAAAATGCCACATGGTTTGTGTGCACCTGTACTCTGAAAATTTCAACAACAGAAACAGCTGTGCAACAGCTCCAATAGCTGCACAATACACTACTGCACCTGCTTTCATGACTTGTTTGGTCATGCACCTTCAGAAGCTACGCATCTGACTTGTGGACACACACAACACAACGCTGGCCTTTGAAACAGAGAGAGATGGTGGAAAAAAAGAGAACTGCGAACAATATCCCATCAAGGCCGGCATCAAAGCATGGTGCATCGCCTCGTCAGTACCCCCCCCCCCCCCCTTGACAGCATTACCGCTGGATACGAACGTCCGAGCGAGAGAGAAGGGGTAGGGGAGTAGGAAAGTCGATGACGGAGACTAGGCCCAAGTCGTGGCGAGCCTCACTGCTCCAGCCAAGAAGGTGAGTTGGAGTTTGGGTTCTTCACCTTGATGTTGAACTGCTTGAGGGTAGCCTCAAGCGAGGCCTGGTTGCCCGAGAAGTAAGATGACACCGCGTTGTGGAACAACAGCAACTGCTTGTGCATCACCTTCACCTGCAAAGTTTAAGCAAAAACAGAGAGCATCACCTCAGGATCACAATGCATGGTAGATTCTGTGCCGGCATTACGCACTCCGAAAAACCGGGGACGAAAGGAATGGGCAGGGATACGTAAAGAGCTAGCGGTGCAGCTCTTTCACTTTCCATTGCCCTTGTTTTCCTTACGCTTCCTATACCAATTAGAGCAGGTAGAATCTCTCTAATGCTCGTATTGCACAACCTTCGATCCTGTAGCTGTGCCTCGGTTTCCTACAAGTTCATCCAACAAAGCTGCTACTGTATCACTTGCCTGCGATGAATAAATTTCCAATTTAAGTGCAGGTTTTATGTAAGGCAGATGGATGCAGCTACAAAAGAAATGTGTTTCTATACATACTACTATTAATGCTGAAAAATTAAAATTAGTGATGTGTGAATCAACCAGTCTTTACTTCAGTACTAAGCAAGGTAAACTGTCTCATTTTCTTCAACAATGCAACTGCACGTTGATGGCCTGAAGACAAGACTACTTGTGAAAAAACATTGCCTTCAGCGACACCCCCAAGTACCAAGGATTTCTCATTGCTGTAGGCTGCCATCTTCCCTGTAATTCTACCTTATCCAAGTAAGGTAAGGACACAATTAATATAAAAAAAAGTAAGTCACCTTGTTCTCTTCGAGGAACTTCATCTTGATCGTGACATCCGCCTTGAGCTTCTCGTACTTGTCCCGGTGGATAGCAAAGTTGCGCTGGGCCTCGTCCATCTTGGAGGAGATGGCTGTACCCTGCGTTCCCTGGGTGAGCTCCTCGAGGTCCGTGCGGTAGGCGTCGTACTCCAGGCGGGCGCTCTCGTATTGCCGCACTGTCAAGAGCGTGTCGTCGATGGTCTTGTGGCAGAGGGTGGCCAGGGAGGAGACAAAGAAGTTGAGCGCCCCGAGCAGCGTCTCGCCATTCTTGCTCAGCGACCGCTGCGCCTCGGCGTTGTATCGGAATTCTTCCTGCAGAGGTGGGCTGCGATGCGCAAGCTCCTGGAATGCTTCGGCCAGGCAGCCCTGAGTCTGAACCACCTGGGATGAAAAACAAAGGTGAGAAATCGTTCCATGCACTGTTGAAATCGGCGTAAGTTAATAAGCTTTCCCGTCCACTCCACCACTGCAGCCTCACAATAGAGGGTTTAGCAGGTTATGGTAATAATGTACCACATACAGCACAATACTACTGCACTGCTCCTCCTTTCTTGTTTGTAGCGCTTTTGGCACTCCCCATTCCAATGAAAATACACTAAAGCAATAAATGCTTTTTTCAAAAGTTACTATGGAGTTCTCATGCTTCACTGTTGCCTCCCAGTCAATGCAACATGAATGAGGAGCCTGCCATTCACCTCTGGACTTGCTACCGCAAACTAATTGCTACTAATTACTTTATGGCACGTGATTTCATAAATTAAGTTGATGGAGCTCTAACAGTGAACAGAACTAATTGATCAGTCAGTGATACGCCAGAAAAAAGTCCCGACATACATTTTTAGAGGTGTGCAAATAGCAAAATTTCGAATGTTATGAGAGTTCTAGATGGGGGTCAGGATAATAATAAAAAACAAAAGAGATCCAATAAGCAAGGATGCGCCAAGTGTTGGTTGGCGGGACTGCAGCAGACAAATGTAGTAGGTGCGCTTATTACACGGGGAAGAAATCCCGATATTGAGGACTGAAGCTGGGGGTGCGTTTATTATGCGAGTTTGTTCATTACAGGAATGAATACAGTATTATCTTTGTCATTACTCAATCCAGGTAGAGAAACCTTCGGGTGTGCCAATGAATGATCGCACTTGTTGAACTGTCTGTCAAGCGATAATAACTTGTCCTGGCCTTGAAAATAAACATGTTGCTAGCAGTGCTGTGTGGTGTCCATATATACCTCCACATGTCTGTGTGATTTTGCACTACATCAAAGCTGTTCAAGTGACAACGAATACTAATAGCCCCTTCTAAACTTCAAACTACTTTTCCACAAAGCATCGGCGTACTGCAGCAAAAGTATATTTAAAGAGCGTTCTGAACGCGATGGAACAAGGTCGGAAAACTTAAGAAACGTTTAGAAGTGCTGTTACATTCTTTTCTTTAGCAGTAGCTTTAGAGTCTTCCCCGTTATATTGGATCATATAATGATTGCCAAACTGCAGGTAACCAGAGTGGCCTCCATTTTTTGATAAAAATAGTGCAACAGAGAAAATTTTGAGGCTGGTTGGGCATCCTAGTATAGCGTGGCACAATTTCAACAAATTTCACGGTTTTGGCTCAGTCTGGCACAAAAATAAGGAATCGTACCAAACTGACAAAGTCAGCGAAGCTGTTGCACCTCTGCATTAGAATAGGGATCCCATCCCGTCTTTCTCCACCGAGTGCTTCTTCCTCACTTCTTCAGTGTCCTGCCCACCCACCACTTAAAGCATCAGCCCCTACTAATGACTACATATACAAATTGGATGTCATCAAAAAGCATCGCTTTAAACAAAAGACCTACAGCAGCACTCAATAGCGAAGACAAGTCACCTCTGTAAGCCAGTCCTATCAAAACCGATTTCGCAGCACAGTTAAAGCCTTACTTTACACAACCAACTTATATGCACTGTTGTCACGTGAACTAATGCAAATGTAATTACATTAGTGATGACGCACCTGGTGGAAATGCGAGGCGAGGGCACGTGCCAGGCGCAGCACGTGCAAGTACTTTGCCTGAGTGTCCCGCAACTGTTCAATCTGAGCTTCCAGCTCGGTGTCCACCGTCCTTGTGCCCTGCAGGTTGGATGAGATGAACACATTTTAGCTTCAGCAAGCTTCATAGAAGTGCTCCATTACAGCAACAGAAAACGCATTTTGAAAAGGCACTAAAGAGAAATAACGAGTCAGGTTAGATTAATAAATTCTACTCTGGGGACTCAAATGCTGTAAATTTTAACATCATAGGTTTATCAATAGGTTGAAGTTTTATTTTCGGGCTCCATACTTCAAGGAGTATTTTTCATACTTTGAAAACATTGACTCGATTTAAGTTTTTTTTAATCTGGTATGTGAAGTCTATGACTTTTTCAAATGGCAATGCCTTACATTTTTATTAATTATGAAATATGAAGGGCCTAGTAGACGCTGTCAAAATCAGTGACATCACAATGTCTGGTGTTGAAATTCGAAGTGGTATTGCCAGCCACATTTTCTTTTTGCAAGTTTCCTTGCTTGCCAAGGGTCTTCTTGAAGCAAGCAAGGTAATTTCAGAATTGCGATAGAGAAATTTACTGATATGTGAAAAATCGTCTCTTTAATGTTCCTTTAACATCAAACACAAGTAGCCCAAATGTGTTACATCACTGCTGAGCTCTGTGTTGACATTAAAGCATAGCCTGGAGCATATGACATTTTTACTATCAGTAATAAGATTGACAGGCCACAGAAAGGCAAGATACAGAGCTTTCAGCACTGTACTTCTTTTCATGTTGCATTTGTCGATTCTTTTCCAATGAATTATGCCGCTACAGTTCCAACATCTACCATGAAATCCCCAGAACTTGCCCTGACCCGAACAAGTGCTCACCCTCCTTTTTTCAAGATTAACAATATACGCCAATTACAGAGCACCCGTCCCCAACCACGCTATTCACGATTTTGAAAACAGTGCAAGCAACAAGCATGCTTAATTAATAAAACATTTCATAAACTATGGCTGTGCATTTTTTATTCTTAGTGGCTCTTCGTTCACCATCTTGAATTTTGCTGCATGAGTCAGGAAGGGCCCCCCTTCAAACCTTGTTGGATTATCTTTCTTGCAAGGAATTTTACAGTAGGCGAAAGCTACAATACAGTTCTTCTGAATTAGAGGTGCCAAAATTGCAGACTGGAACAGTATTAATGGTATCATAATCGGGACCCTGAATTCACAGGAGGGAGTAGATTAGGTTATACTGAATGTTGCACATCCCAGCAATCTCGCGGTGCATCCCAAAACTCTTTGAAAACTCACAGGCAGAAGGTAGTCGTGCAAGATATACAACCACAGTAAGAGAGGTATAAGGAAGTAACACACACTGGCCGCACCTTCCCTAGCTTCTCCGAGAGCATCTGCCTGGTGCACTTGTAAGTGGAGACACTCCATTGGCGCAGGTAGTCGATTTTGGACTGGCCAGCCTTGGTCACCCTAGGGTCGCTACCATTCTGCACCGGACTCGGCGTCGTGAGTGGAACACTTGTGGTCGCTGCGACGAACAGAAAGAAAGTGCTGCTAACAAGGCACAGTTAGCCTTTGCACAGCACATTCGTACCGACAAGTGGGTTTGGACACGTCTTTCTGCTGTTACTTTCTCTGTATTTTAAGCTACAAAGTATGCCAATTTCAATGAGCCAATTCAAGATAAGTAAAGTGTTCTTTCCTTCGTCATCTCTTCAATAAAGTTTGGGGTTTGTTAACACAGGGAAACGATTATGTATGCGAAAGCAGGGAAAATGGAATGAGACAATCGAAGGTCGTGCTACACATATTGATGATGCTTAGTCATTACAGCACACTACTTGAGTAGCACCTTGCCAAGAGCAACATGCTTGCATAGTTCCTGTACAACCGCACATTTAGGCTGCAACTACCACATGCTCAAAAAATGCTCAAGAAAGGATGAAGTGACACATGTTTCTGTTGTCTGAGCAGCCTGCTTCATCAAAGTATTTGTACAGCATTTGAAAATTTTCAGTACCTTTTTATTTGACTCAGTTAATATATAGTCTGGCAGTCCAGCAACTTCACTTTCAATCAATAGTCGGAAAGTTCAAAATATACATAGGCCCATGCCGCATTATGACTGGGTGAATTATATTTCCATTATAGTTTTGGATTATAGTTCAACAAGCTACAATGTTTGCATCTATTAAGAATTTTTTTTCGTGAAAGTAACCTGATTGCAAAATGCCAAGCAACCATTCTCATTGTAATACAAAACTTTTTTTTCATTAAAATACATGTCTCGCGCAGGGTGGTCTGCGTGTAACATCGCACAATAACAGCAATCCCTCTGAACATTCAATGAGCACACGCGTTTAGTAGTTCAAATTCCTCTACACAGTACACTATACACATGACAAAAGTATCCCATGCGTCGCCCCACTATTTTAGATGCGCCCTTACAGATGACAGTGGCAGCTTCGCATGCCGTCTCAATAGGCTACGATATGAAAGAACCAATTTTGGCTCTCAACATGAAGAGCCAGGAGCAGGCTTCTGCGCATCAAACGTAGACAGAGAGACCAAGCAGTGAACCATGAATTATGAGTGCCAGTAAAGCGCTGCATGTACCGTGTCTCACTGCAGGGAGTCCACACCCAAGCAGGAATCCACAAGCCTCATTTTTCACTTAAAAGAGACAAAAAAACGTTCGCCACTCAATCTCACAAAAAACCAAGCCATTTTCACTTCCCTACATTGTCCCAACTGCCACTTCTGATAGTTCCCTGAATTGTCAAGCTCTGGAACAAAATGCACTTCCTGTACTAAAACCAATGAGCCATGTGCTAAGTAACCGTGGCCAATCGGATAAAATGCAAAATATTTTTTTCTCTCTCACCATAGTATGACGATTGCCAAAACAAGCTGAACAAACACAAGATCAGTAACACAAAAAATGTTGGCATATGGTTATGCAAGTTTGAAATAATTACATCAGCACAAAGATCTCTAGAAAAATATTTACAATGCACAAAAAGGACATTTTTCTCGTCACTTGCAGATTTTCAGTTAAAATAATAGAGCACGGGAAAGATCTTTGCTTTCTGGTGCAGTAAACTGAAAAAGAGATACTGAAGCAATCATTACCAACTATCACAGACCTCTAGTGTCAAAGATTTCTATTGATAGACGTCTACCGACTACCCAGGACGGCTGAAAATTTGATTCTACTGAAAACAATGCAGAAGCACACAATATTGAATGCATACACACTACCTTTTCTTTTCCCAGGACCAAGATCACATGTTCAGGCAACGTTTGAAGCCCCATCTTAGGATCTCACACTTGTTAGGTAATAATGAAGTCTAGGTACACCCACTTATAATATACCAAGCCTTCTGCAGTTCACGGAGTTTTAACAGTAGACAACAGAGAACAAAAACGAAGAAAGCAAGTGTTTTTGCGGATCTTCAATAAATCTGACAGTGCTATTCCTGTCGCAGTCTATCGTCCATGTAAGCTGTGTGAAAGGTCTTAAAGGAGGTTGATGCAATGGCTTGGTAGTGATGCTTCAATGGTACACCTGGGCTACAAAAGCTCTACACTAAACCTGCCCCACATTCACAAATGTGGCTCTGGCAGCAACTTCATCCAATCTTCCAAGCAAGGGCCAGTGCCCCCCATCTCAAGTGGTCAACACTATCTGACAATGCTTTTGTGGATTCCAAGAACAAGGACTGGCTTGAAAGATAGCTGCAGACTTCAGTACTTAAAGATAAGATGCTGAAGGTACCCAAATAGAAAGTATGATACAAGAGAAATGAATCAAGGGACCGATTTTTATTAAGCAAAACAATATGAGGACAATCTATTCTAAAGACAAAGAAAGCATAAGGAGCATTTTTTGTATAATCGTGAAGAGGTGTTCAAGAAAAGTCAATTATGTCTATAGGGCAACTGCAAGTCTGCTTTGCAGTGGAGTCATTAGAGATGCTGATCTCCAGGAATAAGGCTGCAAACTTATCCTAGTAACTAATTACGCATTCAAATGTCAGCATGCATGCACACCTGAAACTTCCACTCAAAGTTTGGTGACCATACCACAGTAGGCACAGTAAAACTCCACAATGACTGAAACAGCAAACCGAAAAGCCAGTGATGCTCACCAGGTGGTTGGGCCGCCCATGGCGAGCTGAACGAGCTTGGTGGCACATTACTCCGCTGCTGCTGTTGACTGGCAGGCCGGTGACCTTCCGGATGAGGCATTGCACCTCCGGAGTGAACCACGTCGCGACTCTCGTTTAGCGGAGGTGCTTCGTCCAAAGCCTTGCGCAGGTCCTCTTCAAACTCGCGTCCAGAGTCCGCACTGTGGCTGGGTGACGACACTTCGGTCATCCCTGTCGAGTGGTGACAGCCACGGAGACTAAGTGACCATACTTCGCAAGTGAAACAAGCAAGCCATTTTAAAGGGGTCCAAAGCAGCTATGTTTGAATCTACAGGCTGGTGCAACAATATTAGCTGTAGCCAAACTAAACACTCTTCCAAGATTTATGCAACTGACATTTTGAGACAGGATTTCTACAATAAGATCAGCTCTCTTGTAACTCATCAGACATGCCTGTACAGTAGTCACTTGCAAACTTCAGTAAACTATATGCAATACAGATACACTGCCCCTAATATGGTTGGTCAGTTAACTACATTGCATTGAAACGATATTACTGCAGTTCACAGATTTGGTGCCCTTTGCTGTCTAAGTATCATGCATTCGTAACACAGTAGTGCTCAAATAGAGCATGGGAACATATGAGGTGCCGCAACCCACTATAAACCCCCACCCACCCATATCCCCCGAATTTATACCAGATGCAAGCAATCGTGTTTCGACAGCAACGTGCTGCATAGCAGTGTGTAAACATATGCTGCGTTTCGGTTTCCTACTACCACGCCTTCCGAGGTAATGAAAAATCACAGTGAGCAAATAGTTCAAAGTCACCTTAAAACTTAATACCTGCAAGAACATTCGGGTTTTTAGACGTCGGTTTCGTATGCGGGTATTTATTATTTGCGGCAGGTTCGCTCACCACGGCTACTCTCTTGATCACGCTCGGTAATAAGGATAGGGCGGCTAGTATGCACTATTTACTACACAGCAGAGGCAAGATACAACCTCCCACGACATAACCAGCCTGATCTGTCATCTTCAAACACGCAAGAGTTAAAGGAAATTAGAAAATTCTACAGCCATCGCGTATTTTAACTGCCGCCCCCCTTTCCTCCCCATACCCCTACTCCCATGGTGAAGGCAAACTTGAGGCAAATGTTCGCACTTCAGTTACGCAGATGGAATGGATGACGTGTGCTGTCACGACTTTCAGCCGCGTGATTACTCCCCCGAAGAATATCGATATGCCGCAACGTTACCTGCCCTATAAGAAAAGGAAAGGCGTGCTGTACCCAATTAAAGTGAAAGTGAAGCGATCAAGCGACACACGACCGTTACAACCGGCTAGTCGCGCTATCATACGCTACGTTCAAGGCTGCCATTCATCAGCTAATGGTCACACTGTGATCAATACAAGTGTTGCACGTGCCTAAATACCACGCCTAACGACTGAGAGGTCCGATTACAGTCGGGACGAGCAATAACCTGTACGAAAATCTGCGGATACAGTGCGCGTGCCACTTTCCAATGCCAAGCAGTCCAAGCGTCCTGAAAATCCTCCATGGAACGGTGCCGGACCCTCCCTCGATAACAAGGTAAGCACAGTGCGCTGGGCAGTGCGCCAGGATTGAAACCAAACTTTGCTTACCTACACGCCCAGCTTAATGCGCTCCGTGACGCTATCCTCGCGAAATCAACGGACCCATCAACTCTTAATAAATATGAGGTGAAGCAAACGAACACCCCATAATTGAGAAAAACTAAACAGAAAAACAAGGGCACCCGTTTGAGAGGAAACGCTGTCAAAAACGTCACTTCCGACTGCTACCGACAACGCGCGCTTTCTAAACGCACCGTCAAGCGGCGCTACCAGTGTGTTGAAAAAAATATATTGCAATTTTTTTTTTTTTGTATTAACTGCAAAGCTCTTTTTTTTTACATAATGAATGGAAGCTTGCCAGAATCTGCAATAGAGGTTACAAGAAAAGTGACGTTTATCCAGTGAGTTATGACAACTTGTTACGCCACTAAAACCGCTAAAACCTCGTTTGCAACTCAGGTTTGCAGCACGCCAGAACGTCAGTCGTGTCAACAGGCGTTGCATGAGAAACCCCGGTTATTCTCATTTCCTTCCCCCAATTTCTACATTCTACAAAAGTAAACGCATACACGTGAAGACATATAAGGGAGACGGAGGGAGGGTTCTGCGTGATTTGGGTTAAAATAGAGGCTTGGCTAGATCCCGGTTGTTCTTTTGAACACTTCTAACTCATGTTTCTTCATCGATTACACTAAAAACTTGTCAATTAAATACATTTTTTCAAAAACTGAATCGAGTGGGTAATATAAGGAAAGAACGAGCGCATGCATAGTTCTTATATTTAGGGGGGGGGGGGGGGGGAATTAAATTATCTCGTGCCGGAGACTATATCCCCCACTGCTTCAGTTGACTATACATGGTGATAATCACGCCATGTTAATTACCTTAAATTGTTATCACAAAATACCTTCAGCAGAGATCAACGAGAACGAGGTGGTAAAATACCTCGCGAATAAACGCTGCTCCACTCGACACATTAAATGGGCAGTAAAGTCAAATAACAACTTACTTCAGAGTGAAAGCTCTATGTATGACGTCTACAACGACAATATTATCGACAGCAGTGCCCTATTTACCGAGAGATTAAGGTAATAGCACAAGAATACATGCGCCGCAGTAGGACATTCTCGAAATGATCCCGATGACGTCAGACGAGCCGCCTACAAATAATCACTAATAATCGATCTAGCTGCACGAAATAAAGAAGCTTTCGTGCGTCAAGGGACGCAATAAAATGCTGCTTGTTCGTTTCTGTTTGATTCATGGCAAAAAGAACCCCCGCACGTTACTATGGTGAATAGAGCGAGTGGTTCAAAAATTCAATTTTCACGCGGTTAAATCTGGACAGGTCGTGTCATCTAGCGGGGCCCAGTTGTACCAATCACGACTGGTTTTCATCACGGAGGAAGGAAAAAAGGTACCTTTCCTTCCTCCGTGGGTTTTCATACTCTTATACAATATGGCAGTTTTGAAGGCTAGGTAGCATTGCTGAAAATTGTTCAATGGCCGTTGTTGCTGCTGTGGTTCCCGTTACTGTCTCTATGCTGCTAATATAGTGTCAGCGACCATGCATTAAAGCCGGCCAACGTTGCGTATGGCATTAGTGACGTCAGATTTTTTGTTGAGGCGGGTAATTCGAGGAGCACTAACCCGACGCGGACCACTAAAACGCGATTTTTTTTTTTTTCAAAATAACCCCTTCATTGGCACAAATGTAACACTACGAGGTTTCGGGACCGCTATTTCAACAATCAATGTCGGCCTAATAGTTGCCTTTAGTGTCCCTTTAAAATAATGCATCTGAACTCAGTAAAGACTCATTATTTCGAATTTCAAGGAACTGGAACTATCAGAAATAACCAAATTATCGAAGGCGTCAAGAAAATAATAAACTTGTCGCGTTTTTCGTACACTTTCATGATAGATGGGTAAATTCCGTTCTTATGAGAGCGAATCCCGTTCTTCGTGGCATGAGACTGAGACGCATTGGTGTGGTTGTCCCAGTCCGCGAACACCGTTTATGCTCTTTTGCGTCGCACATTTTGGCGCGCTTCGGGAATTGGACCTAAGACGTTTTTGTTGTTGTTGTTGTTGTTAATTGTTGTTGTTGCTCTTTTGTGCTATTGAACAATACGCGTACTTGCCAGGACCAAATAAAACGTTCTAACTATCAAATTTCCGAGTTAACTGGTGTCGAATTACCGAGCCTTAACTTGTTTCTTTATAAACAAAAAAAAACAGAAACAAATGTTCAATATTATAAAACTTCAGACATAATACAAGCAGGGTATTTATGTTCTAATGTTAAATACTCGCACGCCTTTACAACATTCATTTATCAAGGTGTCCCGCCCTTCATTCCTCTTTCACCAGTTTTCGCTCTGGCGTCTTACCTTCGTAACACGATCCAGCGAGGATCCATGACTCTGTCAAAAAGAGACGAAGAAAGAATGATGGCCCAGTTTCAGCGTGCGAAGAAAAGAAATGTGATGGCGGCTATGTGAAAGTGGGGGGGGGGGGGGAGATGATAGATTAGATGATGACAATTAAGTAGAAGAAAGTTGGACGTACAAAATACACAGCGAACACAACAGGAGAAGAGAAAACGACAACATTAGCCATGATTATCCACTGATTACGAACTGATAATCAGTTACACAAGTTTGTAGTTGATTCAGTATATGTCTAAACACGCGTGAAATTGGTTCACCAATTGCTTCTTTCTCTGCTAGTTTTCTAATCAAACACGTTCCCCTATCGAAGTCTCTCTATTTATCCATATTCTTTCTTATACTAGCCTGGCCACTGTTTGCAGGGTTGCATATAGTAAAATTTTTGAATTATTTTTTAGCATCTCAAGGAAAGAGCGTGAATCGCGAAGATAAAATATCGTCATCATGAATCAGCACACGCTCTCTTCATCTTCTTCTTTGCTCCTAGAACGCGGGCACCGATTAGTCCGGCGTTGAATGCAACAACTCTGATGGGGGAGAGAGCAGGTACAGGGAGAGAAATAGAGGACAGGAGAGGGAAGACATAAAAAAGATAGAAAGACTACAGAAAGAAATAGGCAAAGAGAGCAAGAGATAGAAACAGACACACAAAAGAGATAGAAAAAAAAACAGAAAGCAAGATAGAAAGATGAAGAAAGAGAGATACATGGAGAGAGTGTGAAAGAAAGGAAAGAAAGAGAAAAAAATAGAGGTAAGTACACAACAAAGGTAGAAAGAATAAAGAGACATGTAAGAAAAGAGAGGAGAAAAGAAAGAGAAATAAAGTGAAACAAGGCCGTTCAGCTCCGAACTTATTTCAGACTCAGTGGCACCGCTCGTGCGAAACTCCTTTAATTTCTTCTGTATTGGTTTTTTTTTTTGGGGGGGGGGGGGGGTGCAAGCGTTTTTTATGTGTGTTCATTCGTGTGTTTGTATATGTGCTATACTATAAAAATAATTATTCTTAGACTTTCACGTCTTAAAAACACGATGAATGATTATGAGGAGCGCCGAAGTGGAGGGCTCCGAAAATTATCGCGACAGTCGGAGTTAAAGAGCTCGTTCAGCAGAAATTCTGGTGTCGACGTCGTTGGTGCTGAGCGAGAAACCATCTTGTGCCAGACCGAAAAATTGAGAACGATGTAAACAAAGTAAATAATATAACTGTTAAGTCCGTATAAGGATAACACCTAGGTCCTTTCCGTGGGAAGCAGGTGTTGTACCGCGGAGCCACGACATTGCTTGAAAGCGCTTCGGTAAAAAAACTAAAGGAAAGAAAATACCTGTATGAATGTTATGTAGCGGAATGAGTCATCTTAACTCATGTAATATCCATGTCGTAAAACATTATAAACCAGTGTACGTTAAGGAACACCAGCTGCAGGTGGCCGAAATTTCCGGAGTCCCCCCTACGTTGTCTCTCATAATCATATCTTGCTTTTGGGACGGAAAACCCCATATAATAATTAACGTTCTAAACGCATCTAAAATGATTTGTCGCAACCCCCCCCCCCCCCCTCGAAGTCAAGGTAAAGGGCAGACTGTGCGCTTAGGTGACTGGGGGAGCCGCCCCCTAAACTCCTCCTCATGGCGCACGCCTATGCGGATGTCTATATAACATTTCACCTGCAGTGGACGCGCGGCCGAGATCACCTGAAAATTATAAAAAAATTGTATCTCTGCGCCAATGCAGAGACATGATACCCCGGCCGAACCACTGAGACACTGGACAGAATGAATGGCCGTCTATAGTTATACGGTACGGCGGGAACAAGCTTGGTATACGAGCTGATCCACATATACACGACGATTTCACAATGTAATCGAAGACGTTCTCGTTTTTTGTTATTCAAACTGCAGTTTGCTCGATTCCAAGCATGTCTTCGTCCTAAAAATCCTGCTTGCTGAACTCTCGCTTAATCTTACGAGATTATACGGGGTGAGCTTGCCGCTAATCTCTCGTTTGGTCCGCGCTCGTATACTTAATGCGCCGGCGTGGTGGTTTGCATACGCATTGCAGTCTGCTGTGACGTCTGTGTTACGAAAACGACGAGAAAAACAAAAGGACATACATATGTTACATTGTGCGCTGTATCTCTGTAATTACAGTTCCTCCTCCATGAACAAGTGTTATGGGGTTCGAAATACCGGAAACTGCACAACAGCTTATCAGCAACGCTGTAGTGTTACTGTGGGATTATTCTACTTTTTAGTCTACGTTTTATGCATACATTTTTCGCGGTCATCAATGTGCGGCTGCGTTGTCTGCAGAAACCGAGCGCTGTGCTGGTTAGCATGGCATGAAAGTCACATAGTAACAGCTGCATGCCCCGCGCAACAATAATTTTGATTGATATGTGGGGTTTAACGTCCCAAAACCACTATATGATTATGAGAGACGCCGTAGTGGAGGGCTCCGGAAATTTTGACCACCTGGGGTTCTTTAACGGGCACCCAAATCTGAGCACACGGGCCTACAACATTTCCGCCTCCATCGGAAATGCAGCCGCCGCACCCAAGATTTGAACCCGCGCCCACGCAACAATAATTTTAAGCATTTGCCTAGATAATATTGGTATCACATTTTGGCTTGAGTGGCATATAGATATACACAGCCTATCAAAAGTAATATGTGCGTCAAATCATTAGAAGTCATAAGAAGGAGCTTTTTTTTTATTTCCCTGCCAGTGTCACGACAAAACAGCCCTATGACAAAAGTGCGATACTTTATCTCGCCTTGCTGGGAAAACAAACATGTATGCGTCCTAGGATTACCAACATCAAACATTTCTTTCATAGACGATGATTCGTTTTACGAAAGATACGCCTTACGACACACTGTCTTGAAACGAAAGACTTGCAAATACATGAACCCAATGATAACTGTATCCTGTTGCAAACATGGCACTAGCGAGTCGTGATACTGAGAACGAGTGAATAAGCCTGTGCGAGGCTTGAAACTGTCTCGCATATTTAGAAGACACATAGAAGGCTACAAGAGCGAAATTAAATTAGGTCTTCGCATATTACAGCACTACCTTAGCCAGGGGGGGTTGAGTCTCCCCCCAAATACTGGTAAGAAGTTGACACCCCCCCCTCCAAACGTCCTTATTCTTTAAAACTTCGCATGTGTATATGTATGCAGGCTGACACAAAAGCACACAAGAAAACGTACACAAAGAATATCCTCCCCATCCCCTCCCCAGAAAAAATTTCTGACTTCTCCCTTGATATACAGTATGTGAGCTGCTTATCGAGTGATAAGAGATTATGGGGGCAAATACTTTCGCACCCTCGATGTTGAAGCTCATCGCCGCTCCGCTACGCTAAGGTGCGCCGGTCGAGCAGTTGGCGCGCCAGTAGGTGGAGGCAGCATACGACGACGATGACGCCCGGCTCTCAAAGCTCGTTCCCACGTCGGTAGAATGCAGCCTTCACCATTCATGCGCCCGCAAATGTATTAAACACACAGGCCGAATCACACGCCGCCAAAAGCGCACTGCCCGTGGAAATGAAAACGACCGCCTACGACTTGTCTCAAGCTGGCTTCAACGCCTATGGCGTTGCTGTCCACAGTTTTTTTTTTTTTTTCTGTTGCGCCCTTGGCTTCACGAGAACGTTATTTGAACGTACGCCTGCGCGATCGCGACGGCGAGCAGCTGTACGCTTGCTGCCACAGGGACGCACCGCTAAGCAAATGGAAAAGGTGATTCAAACAGCCCTCGCGCGCATTTCGAACATGCGCGCATTGCTGTGAACACTTGGCTACAAGCTAAGATGTCAGGTCTGCTTACAACCATCGTTTACCGACGGTTATCCCGTCCTCGGGGATTTTGAATCGATGCGCCCATCCATAACACTTACTCATTTTCGTGTTGTCTTAAGCGCTTGATCGGCGATACAGATAGTTCGTTTTCTCGTGCAGAAACACGCTTTTGTGTGGCTAGTTTTGGGACTGGAACTTGAATGTCCTATAGTAATCTTCATCAGGGATTCTGGTATCGCTATTCAGCCAAACGTAATGTCTTAAATAATACTGAAGAACCTCGCCCCGCCGCTCGGCTGCTGACCCGCAGGTCGTGGGATCGAATGCCGGCTGTGGCGGCTGCATTTTCGATGCAGGCGAAATGACTCTAGGCCCGTGTGCTCAGATTTGGGTGCACGTTAAAGAACCCCAAGTGGTCGAAATTTCCGGAGCCCTCCACTACGGCGTCTTTCATAATCATATGGCGGTTTTGGGACGTTAAAACACACATATCAATCAAACGTTTAACTCACAATATGCGTAAGGCTTAAATTAGCCGAAAAAAATGAAAGCATATCAACGGACTGAATGACCATGAGTGGAGCGACGCGTCCATGCGTCCGTCAGTGCTTCCGTCCACGCTTCAATCTGTGTGTCTGTCTAGCGACGAGCACGAGCCGCCGCGGCCCTCCACGCCCACCGCTCCGCTTTGTCTATGCCCAGCCAACGATCCGACACGTATACGGCGACGATCAAAGAGAGAGGCACTCGTTCCCCGCGCACCAATTCACAGCCCACGCAGCAGCCAATCGGAGAGTAGCGGTACAGCGCCATCTAGAATATTATCACTCAACTGCAGTTTGTATGTTGGATGGATGGATGGATATGGCTGTACCTTTTAGATCGGGCGGTGGCTAGCGCCACCAAGCCGTAATACTTAATGAACCAAAAACTATATTTATTTTTTCCCTTAAATAGTGAGGTTGAGGATTCGTACTTTGCAGTGAAGGGTTTAATTTTCACTCGTGCCTTGACTTTAGCCACCAATCAGATAACCTCCTTCTAGTGGTACCTACCCGCTTAAAGTCTATTTTTCCCTCCCGGTCCCTAAACCCCAGTGCTTTGAAAAACTCTGCGCCATCATCCTGAACTATAGGGTGAAGCCCTTTACAGAACATTATCAAGTGTTCGGCAGTTTCTTCTTCCTCTCCACACGCACTGCATACTGTGTCTACCCCTTCGTATTTGGCCCGATATGTCTTGGTTCGCAGTACTCCCGTCCTGGCCTCAAACAGAAGAGAGCTACCCCGAGTATTATCATAGATCTTTTCCTTGGCAATTTTCAGCTTAAAAGTTCGATAGATCTCTAGTGCGGACTTCTTAATCATGCCCATTCTCCACATGTCAGTCTCCGTTTCCTTCACTTTCTTCTTAACCGATATTTCTTTTTGGTTTGGCCACCTGCTGTTTTCTAAGTATTTACCAGTCAATTTCCTGGTTCGCTTCCTCCATTTTGTATCGACATTCTTCATGTACAAGTAGCTGAAAAACCTTCCTAGCCCAACGCTCCTCCCCCATTTTTCTCAATCGCTTCTCAAATTTTATCTTGCTGCTAGCTTCCCTGCCCTCAAATGATGTCCATCCCATATCACCTTGTACTCCCTGTTTTGGTGTATTCCCGTGAGCTCCGAAAGCAAGCCTACTTATTCCGCGTTGCTTAATTTCTAATCTAGCTCGAACTTCTGATCTCATGCACAAGACCGCATTGCCGAACGTCAGCCCAGGAACCATGACCCCTTTCCATATTCCTCTCACAATATCATACCTATTGTAATTACACAGTGCCCTATTTTTCATCACTGCTGCATTCCTGTTACCTTTAGTCGTCACGTATATTTCGTGTTCCCTCAGGTACTCGGTCCCATTGCTTATCCATACGCCCAGATATTTGTATTTATCTGTTATCTCTAGCGTGACCTCCTGTATTCTAAGCTCACTACCTTCGTTGTCATTGAAAATCATGACTGCTGATTTTTCCTTACTGAATCTAAAATCTAACCTATCTCCCTCATTACCGCAGATGTCCATCAATCTCTGCAAATCTTCCTTGTTGTTGGCCATTAGCACTATATCATCTGCGTACATTAATGCTGGTAGTGCCTTATCAATAAGTTTTCCTTGTTTGACTAAAGAGAGGTTGAAGCCCAGTCCAATTCCCTCTAATTTGGCCTCTAATCCTTGTAGGTACATCATGAATAATAAGGGTGACAGGGGACACCCCTGCCTAAGCCCCCGTTTTACCTCTGCAGGCTTGGATACCTGTTTTTCCCACTTTATAACTACCTTGTTACCTTTATAGATATCCTTTAAAAGATTGGTGACTACATGTTCCACGCCTAGTGTGTCCAGTATTCCCCACAATTCCTCTTGAACCACGCTATCGTACGCTCCCTCGATATCCAAAAATGCTAGCCACAGGGGCCTGTGTTCCTTTTCTGCTATTTCGATGCACTGCGTCAGTGAGAACAGATTGTCTTCCAACCTCCTGTGTTTCCGAAACCCATTCTGCAGTTCCCCCAGCACCCCCTCATTCTCTATCCATGCCTGCAGTCTTTCCTTTATAATCTGCATCGCCAGCCTGTGGACCACTGATGTCACTGTTATAGGACGGTAGTTGTTTATGTCAGCTTTGTTCCCCTTTCCTTTATAGATGATGCTCATCCTGCTAAGTTTCCATCCATCGGGAACTTCCCCATCGATTATTATTTTGCTCACTACCTCTCTCAAAGCCTGCTTAGACTTCGGACCTAATGTCTTTATCAGCATAATTGGAATGCCATCTGGGCCTGTTGATGTACTACTAGGAACCCTTTTCTCAGCCCTTTCCCACTCTCGTTGTGAAAATGGAGCCATTGCACCACTTGATTCGTCCTTGTCTATTGTGGTGCATAAAGTACTTTGTTGAAATTTTTCTGTCACCCTTGTTTTTATATATTCAATAGTTTCGTTCCCTTCTAGCCTAGCACCTTGGGCTGTAGTTATAAAACTCTGCTCTAGGCTCGTCTCATTTCTTAGGGAGTTTAGATGGTTCCAAAATTTCGCAGCTGCCTTTCTATCTTTTTTATGTACTTCTGCCAGCCACTGAGCTCCCTTTCTTCTAATCTTTTCATTGATCAGAAGGGATGCATCCCTTCTACAGCTTAGAAAGGTTTCCCATTTTCTTTCAACATCATCTGTCGGTTTACCCCGCTGCTTAGCATGTCTGTGTTCCCTAGAGGCTTCCTGACGTTTTGCTATGGCTCTCTTAACTTCCTCATCCCACCAACTTTTGGGTTTGTGTCTTCTTTTCCGGGGTGACTTGTCACGCGTCTTAGCAAGCTCTAGCTCAAAGAGTCTAATTAGATTCGTGTATGTCCACACTGTCTTATTATCCTCCGTGATTACTTTCTCAATTTGTTTAGAGGCTATTTCAATTTGCCTTTCTGGATAAAAATTTTCCTGTAGTTGCTCATCTTGTCTCCTTTCCACTTTCACTGCTCTTCCAAAACTTAGCTTGATACGTTTGTGATCACTACCCAGACGTCTGGAGCCACCTTCATCTATGTGCATTCCCCTGAGCCTATCATACATCCTATGTGACATCAGTGCATAATCTATCGTCGACTGCAGCCTTCCTACCTCCCATGTTATTTGCCCTTCACACTTCTCGGTACTGCTGCACTTCTATGAGACAGCGTACTTCTATGAGACAGCGCCATCTATTATGCTGTTAGGGAGATACTACCAGCTACGCCTGACGCAGAATAAGGTTAGAGCAAGAGGAGCTCGATGCTAAAAGGTTCGAGCTGAAACGAGCTGGCACAACGCGGGCAAGCAGGCACGCCGTTGTTCTGTGGGCGGAACTTTACTTTTCTTAGGTTGTGAGTATGTATCGCACTGCATAGAGCCGTGTATCCTTTTATATATAAGGGATATACGGCTCTGATATTGCATAGGCGTTCCCGCCACTTCTGCAGTCCCCTTTCCTTTTTTTCTTCTTTAATACCACGCATCGGACATTTCTCCGCGGGTAAAGTTGATAGGTTGTAGCTTGCTGAATGCTTTCTAAATCAGCAACCTTGATTGCCATCTTCCTGATCTTTAGCCACGCTTAAAATAAACCTTGAAACACTTGACGCATTTTCTCCTACTTGATATGAAAAAAAAATTAAAATGAAGAAATTTGTTCCCCACTGAATATATTTAACCATATCCTTCTATCACTGAAATAAAAATAGGCAAGGAATTGATTTTCGATCAAAGGCGATGTGTTTTTTTTTTTTCACTGTAGGGAACGTCACAGGGTGCACAAGTATATGACAGGGAATACCAGTACACCGGACCCACACCCACCACGTTGACGCTTCGACACTGACGCTAACATGCTTGAGCGCGCACAATACAGAGCTTTATTTTCTACGCATTTAGGCTTGGCAAAAGGCTGAGACCAAGCTTTTTGCGTTACATTGTTTACTGACTCGGTATTTTTTTTACCTTTTTTTTAATCCCGGAGGTTTGCGTATACGCAAAGTTTTGCGTTACGCTAAGGCGAAAAGCCTAAACCTTCCTATTGTTCTTCTTACACCACCACAAAAACGAATGCCGCGACTGTGCTGTTGCGGCGTTTTTTTTCTGTTTTTTTTTGTTATACAGAATTTCTTTTTTTTTTCGTTCACTGCAAGAGTGTCGTAATACATTCTTTGACTTTGTCTGTGCAAATAAAACATTCGTACCGACGCCCTATTCTGGGATATTGAAAAAAGAGCTTTAGATAAGGTTCCGGATTCTCGCCTGCTGCTAAAATTACTACGTCTACATGTTTATCCGCTTGTTCGTAACCGGATCGAGTGTATGTTACCTAACGGTGAACAGTTCGTATACGCTATAAGAGTTGGTATATGCTGCAGAATACGCATGATATGTTTCCCCCCTTGTGCCTCATGTGCCACGCGGCGCTATGTTCATGGGCAGCTCCTATTTTTATAGTTTACATTACTGACTTGAGATTCATTGTAACTTCGGTAATACGGTTTTTTGTAGATTATTGGGCCGTGAACCACATCGTCAACATAGCTGGCGTATGTTCCGTTCAAGGGAATCTCCTTCAAGATCAGAGGCATCGGTACGGTCCATCGTGCAAAACTCTATGGTATGCGCCGCAGTAAGGCCCACTGCCGTGTACGTCACGTGCGAGCTTCAATAAAAACTCTTCTCGGAGAAGTGGAGCACGTGCAACACGTGAGTGAGACAGAGACATATGAAAAAAGAGGAACGAAAAAAAAATAGAGAGAAAGAGAAAACAAAAAAGAAAGCAATAGAAGGAAAGAGAAAGAAGAAGAAAAGAGAGAAAGGCAGAATTACAGAGAAGGACGTAGCAGGAGAGAAAACGATATAGACAGAAACGGGCACTAAAAGTAGATAGAAAAAATAACAAGCAGTGCGATAGGAGAAACAGAAAGATATACATAATGAAAAATCAAGAGAGATGGAGAAAGCAAGGGAGAAAGAGAGGTAAATATATAAAAAGAGAAAAAGAAAGATATGGCAAAATAACAAATATAGAAAAAAAGACATGAAAACGGACATAAGAAAATGGATGCCAAAACCATAGAAAAAGAAGCATGGAACGCCTTCTATCTCTACAGGATTGGGACCGCTGTAGTACGCGACTGCCTTATTATGGGGAGGGGGGGGGGGGGGCTCGATATTTTATGTATGTTCTGCGCATGTTTGTATGTGTGCACACCTTCGAAAATAACAAAACTCCGGGAATGAGGTGATGGGGGTGTGAACCCCCTCACGCCAATGTTCAACACTGGCGTGCTACATGGATCATGTCCTTGATCCCTGACCACTATGGGAAGACTGCGTGCATTTCATTTAATCGTCGACCCTATAACATACCTCCGCCTATAAGATCATTAAATGTACTAAATCGCACATAGATTTCTTTGAGTGCATAGGTCATCACCCATCCGAAAATTTGTCTTGGACAAATCATATAATGTGCATTATCAATTGATCTAACAAAATTATTGGTCATCTTAGCCGTAATCTGTTCATGGCGCAGCCATGCACAAGTGAAATTAGTTGTCCACGTGTTATCTAAACTGGATTACGCATGTACTATCGCTGACTATTACCAACCCAATCTCACGAAAGCTCAATAATCTGTTGAGAATCGTTCTGTTAAATTTATTCTCTCTGATTACTCATATCCCAACAAAGTCATTTCACGTTAAAGGTTGCAGCCATTTTGGCGACCATCTAAAACGCATTCGAAAAATATCGGGCTAATTTATTGCGTTGAAAACAGAATTGATTGTCTTGAATTGCGTCAATGACGTCACAGCTTTACGTCGTCACGTAGCTAGCCGTGTTTACCTGAAAACCGGAACTGTTGCTGCCTCGCTCAGTGCTCCTTGAAACCGAAATTGCAGCTAGGCACTGTGAAAAATGTCTCTAAATATTCGTCGCGCACTCGAGCAAACGAAATTTGCAGCAGTGATTAGTCGGTCATAATCTACCTATTGCAACAACAGCGACGACCACAGCAACAACGACACAATTAAGGGGCAATTTTTTTGTGTCAGCGTTCTGTTGGATGAATGGGCGTCTTATATACTCGCTGCTAAAAAGAAATAGCCCTACACACGAGCTACACGTCTCTTCCCAGCTTTGATATAGTTGTCGCAAGTATACATTGAAGCACGGAAGAAAAAATAAAGACAAAGAAACAGAGGCAAAAGGACAGACGGGTGTAAACCAAAGCAGGGGTGAAAGGTGGGGGGGGGGGGAATCAAAACCCTAAAAAATTTTCAATTTTGTATCTGTATATATACAGGCACACATAAACACACGCACAAATGTTCATAATGGGTGGTCACCCCCTCTCCCATTCAAAAAACAAGTCTCGCTACTCCGTTGGACAATTAATAAGGAAAACGTACAGAGGGACATGCCTCCATATTTTTTTCCATCATCCTTTGAGTCCTCTTAATGGGATAACAACAAGCCCGATCTCGAGCCAACTATAGAAATGTCATTTCTGGATCGGCTAGCCATCACATTTCCGCTGCCCTCGCTCGTCCCTTATCTGTTATCCAGCGGTGTCAACCATCGGCTTTGATCATATCGTTTTTGCGGCAACACTTCAAGAAGATGCCTTTCTAGCGCACTGTGGGCATGAAAGTCAGATAGATGGTTGATATGCTGGTGCACAGACGTACTATTTAGACAACTGCTCCGCAAAATGATCATTACTTGTGATTCTCTCCAATTAGCTGAACAACACCGCAGCAATACTTATAGGCCTTTCGGACAGTGGGGTATTACAATCCAAATAATCCGGCAATTTGAATTCCAGAATATAAGGATCTTTTAGCATCTCGTAAACCATGTGTTTATTCGATTCGCCGAAGTTTCGTGTCAATAACTAAGTGCAATCCGGCCAGCGCTTGTACAGCTTTGTATAGGCTCGAATTATTTCTACCCATCGATGCCACTGCATGGTTTATAACTTTTTACTTAACCGTGCTCCGTAATCGCGCTCCAGCACTATACCTTCAGAACGTGGCTGACACCTCATGCGCAACACTCGTTCGTCAACTGACAACAGAACACGGTAGGTGTCGCAGCCAGTGCCTTTAATGATGAATCTTGTACTCACAACAGCAGAGGGCACGCGAAATTACACACAAGACATATACGGAATGTTCCCGAAGGCTACGAAAGTCGATACGGCCTTTGCAGTGTTTCAATTGCGTTGCAGCACACGTCATCAAGAACTTCCGCGAATTGCACAATCATCTGTGAAAGTATACAGACAAATACAGACAAGATACTGACTTTTGGAGGTATTTCTGACCTTTCAGGTGCGTTTGCAAAACGCCGATGAGTGTTAGACACCATATAACTTTTCGAAATGCTCGTTATACAGTTAGGCTTATCCAATCTTTAACGCGAGTCACGCAATCCACAAGGCTGTAGCGGTAATGAAGGCTCGCTGGCAGGTAAGAAGCACTTCGCGAACAAATTGATGATGCGGGGGGAAGATCTCATTCCCGGACGACAGGTAAACGATGCAAGCCAAATAAAAGAGAATAATTTTTAATCAGAACTGCGAAAGCGACATATATGCGCGAGCACTATGCCGGTAAATACAAATTAAAAGCTAACTGTTCCACGTACGTCCTACTCGATTAAGCAATCGACCGAAGCAAAACAAAAAAAAGACACTTCCTGTAAAGTGTGTAGTTAACAGGACTCTAAACGGAATCCAAGCTTTCCAAGGGCGTTCAAGTAGCGGCTTTCGGGTCTTTTTACACCACAGTCGCAATGAGGGCGCAGAAGTTGTCCATTCCGTGAGTCTCGCACTCTGATTAGTTTGTGAGAACCGAAGATCGACACACACACGCGCACACACAGACACGCACGCACTTAACATTACACAATCTGACACGTCACACAAGTCGGGCTACAATGCACGGATGTGCAATAGCAATCCCGAGCTTCGGTGCAAACATTTTTTTCCCCTCGTAGGCACGATGAACTTCGCCACATCACACCACCCGTTCACTTAGGTTGAGCAAAATAATTAGGCTGCACTTGCACAAACTTGGCGAAGGAAAACAAAAATCATAGGGCACGCTTCCATCAACAATAGCCCGCCGTAATTCCGAAACAGCGATAGCTATTACCACGCAACTGGGCGCGTACGAAATGTTCCAAGCGTGAATAAGCCTCCTCTTTCCTATAAGTGTCCCACTTTCTTCAAAATCATGCTAAATCATAGAAATCGCAAAGTCGCGCCTCACAACTGCCGCTCCGGTGATCATTCAAATAGCTTGCCGCCACAATTGCGGGTAAATATGAAAAAAAATTACATTTTGTCTCCGATGTCAGAGCTCCTTGTTGGTTAGTGACGACACTTTACATACAGCGCACACACAAGATCGGACTCCAATGGTAAAAGTTGACAGCTCAAGTCAAAATCTCTATTTGGATACGAATAACTCTCGCTCATAAAGCAAGTATAGATACCAACATTGCCCCGTGATAAGCCGTTAAAAGGTTCGAGGGAATGTTTGAGATCTTTACGAGTAACCGCTAACTACAGAATAAACAAACGGAGCACTCACAGCATGCAGTTCGATAGCGACGTCTTTAGAAATTTTGTTACCGCTTCACTCGGTGCGCACACGTGTTATCAGGCATGTTAAGCACAAATGATCCTTGCTTATTCTTTCTTCATATAAGAAGAGATAACGCAGCACATGGAGTCTTTTTTCTGTTATTCGGGGTTATACGGTACTAACCAGGAAGTATGTTCAGTGACCTGCAACCGCGGTGCCCATGATTCCTAAAGGTAAACATATCCCAACATGCAGCACTTAATACCAACTGAAACATGAAGAGAAACGTAAACAAAAATCTTCGTTGATAATATCGGTTCTTTCCTTTCGTTGCGGTTACGCTTGAGAGTTACCATTTAAACAAACACTGCGGCTGCTACTGGTGAACGTTACCTTGAGCACCGAAGAAAGGGCTAGTGAAGTGCTTCATTAGTTGGCAAAACAACTTTGATTCTGCAGTAACACCGAGAAACGACGCCGAACAAACCACGCGGGATGGGCTTGGTTAAGTATAATCTGAGGTATACGAAGCACATCTTCACAGAGCTTAAGCCATACGCAGCACTCGGGCACAGCATTTGACTTAACGACTACTGCTTTTCACGGTCGAAATGTCCCCATAAAACGTACGCGTCACACGGAGAATGTAGCCGTCGGGCTGAGCAATAAGGGAGTCGCATCAAAGCCTTCGAAGGCAAAGCGAACTGATGATCACGCTTTTACAGCAGGGCCTGGCGTGCAGTTCTCAAGACATGGCAGGCGTATTACTACAATGTTTTGCTGACATTGAGACCACGCGCATTCACTGCCGCACACTTCGCGACCTAAAGAATGCCATCACCAGCAAAATGAACAAAAAAAGAAAAAACGGGGGAAGAATCATCGAAGCACGACAAAAAAGCAACTCCGCCAGTTTTTCGCGAGTTTGTCCCTGATCCTACACTTTTTCCGCAGAGGCGATCTCGCACGCAGGCTGGTGCAGGCGACGAAGCACTCGGTGTCCCTCGTCAGACGCGGTGTTAAAAGTTCGTCAAGGCCTCCGGCCATCCGACAAGCTGGGCAAGAAACGGACAGCCGTATAGAGGTCGCACACGCATTGGGTGGTTGGGACCACGTTTCAGCAGTAACAGTGACCCCCGGAGTTGCTCCCAAGGTTGCTCGTCGCGGTTTGTCCTGTCCTTTCTTTTTTTCTTTCCGTCGCCGGTCTGTGAAGCGTGTAAAAGCTCGTGGCTCACGAAACGCACGACACCACTGGCAAGTCTCTCAAGTGGTGCGATGCTGAAACCGGAGCTCGAAGCGGCCGCTGTCCTTCGCGTGGTCGTTTTATCCGGGACTGCGCATTTTATCCGGGACTGCCTGTTGCCGATGCCACAGCGTGGGCGCAATGGCGGCGGGGCCCGCTCAACTGTCGCCGTTGATGCACAGTTGGCACCGCACCAGGCCACCTTCGTCGCAGTTGAGGCACCTGAGGAAGATGACCGAGGACGAGAAGCGGTGCCTGTGCTGCGCCGACTTCTTGCTGCCGCCGCACACGGGACAGGGCAGGTACTGGTAGCCGCCGCACATGGCGCACGTGCCTCCGACGGTGCTCTTCTGCGAAAACGACCGTAAGGGAACGCGCGGATTAGGAGCGTCGTCGTGCACTTGCACGCCGTGGCAGGCACCGAACTGAACTGCAAGTGCATAAATATCTATCAAACCACGCTAAGAGGTTACCCTCAACTGAAATCATGAATCAGGTCTACAATCACTTTTATATGTCAGTCGACAAGCCTAAAGTCAGCCTCAAGTCCGCCCCAAGTAAACCTCAGCTCAGCCTCAAGTCAACCTCAAATCCACATTAAGTCAATAGGTGTAGCATTCATTAGGTGATAGGTGAGAGACCCTGAAATTCATGAGTTCCTCAGGCGGAACAATTGCCGGCCATGTAGGCTGACTTTCTTTCCCTGCTGCAACATCACAGCCACCACTACCCACTTATGTCAAAGGCACCTTAAGTCGGCTCGAAGTCAATCGGAAGGTGTACGTTTGCCCAGGTGCCTAATGAATGTCTTAACAGATTTTCATTCCAGAAGCCTGCAAATAAGCTTCTTAGGACATTTTAGAGATCGCCTATGATTTAGAGACAGCTTGTTTACAAATTCAATTGCGGCTATTGCTTGTTGATATTTGTATAAACATTTTTCGCCGCCAACTATGCATGTCGATGGATCACACTTTACGAAAGAAAAGAGGGGCTCCGCAATGTGTTTGGTCGAGAGGCAGATATCTGTATAAGTTTCGAAGAGAAAGATACAAGCAGTTAAGAACGCGGAACATTAATATATAGGTTAAAATGAATATATTTATACTGCTCAAGTTAACGCACATGCAAGCAGTAATTTTTCTTTTGTTGTTGTTTTGGCTTCAATCATTCAGGTCCCTTGACCACCGAAGTCACAGCACTACGTTACTTCAAGCTTAACAGGGACGTAGACAGAGGACGGGGGAAGGGGGGGTCCACTTTTTTCCCGAAAATTTTCGATTGTGCTTGCACATATACACACGCGCAGATACAAACGCATGGACGAACATACATAAAGTGTGTAGCCCCCCCCCCCCACGAAAAATTATGCTACTGAAGCTTAATGTACACAATAATTGTATAAATTAAAACAGCGATGGAACTGATCGAAGAAGGCATGAGGCATATAAAGGAGCATGCGCGAAAAGACTGCTTTTCGGTATATTTTTCTTATTTATATATAGTAGTGTGCGTTGGGGGGGGGGTGCTGGTGAAGCATGCGTTGGACAGAAAATGGCGTCTTAATGAATCAAATATGCAGCTTACCTTGTACGGCTTCAGCATCTGCCTGAGCTGGCCGGTTTCATTCAGACGCTCCACTGTTTCCGCTCCCTGCAAGCAAAACAAAACAGATAAAAAACAGGTGAAAAACGTGCACTTGCCATATTTCTTAAGCTAAAACTGGAATGCTATGAAAGATGACGCCACGACGCACTCCGATTCTGTTTACCTTTTGTTTACTTTGTGGGGGTGCTGACACCCCCCCCCCCCTGTAAAGTTGTCTGCGCCGCGTGGCGCACGTGTCTCGCCCCAAGGCTTTGTTTCGGTGGTGACCACCACCGGGCGATAGGTGTTCGCTTTGAGTACCACTGTTGGTAGAGTGGTAGCGCCGGCGGTGGCCCCTGGCGGAAGGCGGGCCTTGGTGTTGGCGAGAGTTGAGCGAGCCTCTTCTGCGTGTGGCGGCTGCCGCGAACGGTTGTCTGTAGCGTGGGTCCCCGGTGCTCAGCACCGCGGGCTTCGCGCCGGGGTCCCACGTGGAAAGTCAGGCGTTGGCGACGCCGCCTTGGGTATGTGTTAGTGTGTTGGGTGTGTTAGTGTGTGTTTATCATGTTATTGTGTGTTTAGTGTGTCATTGCGTTATGTTGTTTGTATGGTAGGGTGTTAGTTGAAATTGGTGTATCATTCGGCGGACGATATCGTCGTCTAAATTAGTTAATAAATGTATGTATGTTGTGTGCTTTGTACCGACCGCGTCTGCTGTGTCCGTTCACTCCAAGAGCGTGGCGAGGCGCGCGTTCGCCTCGCCGAGACCCCACAACTTATTTATCGAACTCTGAAGATGTGACTGTGTATACGGGCGCTCATTTACACTTTTTGTTTTGCAATTTTTGCCATGCACTCACACTGATGGCGGTATTACACCATCATTCAAGAGATGCCACTTCCAACCTTTGTACCACGCTCAACAGCTTAATCAAGCTGAAGCAGAATAATTGGCAAAATCGACAAGAATAATCGAGGATGTAAGCAAAACGAAAAAAAAAATTGACCTGCCTGGCAAGGAATATACCTCACAAGGCATACAATGTATGCCAGTAGTTGGCTGCAATAACAGAAAACTTGACCGCGATTTAACCCGCTACTTATTACCCTGAACGTCATCGTATATATATATATATATATATATATATATATATATATATATATATATATATATATATATATATATATATATATATATATATATATATATGCATGTCCAGCCAAGGGCACGGAATTTCAGCGTTCAAGTAAAGGAGTAGAAATTTGACCTAAATTCTATTAAATTATATGAACGCTGTCGAAAGAAAGGAATGGAAATTCTTTACACTCAAGCAGCCACACAATTAGAATATAAAAATATAAATTATTTTTATTGATTACAAAGACTGTCGACACAAGGGAGTAACATAGCGTAAAACTGTAAGATGATCTCTTGATATTGCACAAAACAATAGAAGGTTAAAAAAAAACGCGTACCATGTATGCGACCATGCTTAGCTTTAGAAAATTATTGTTCTTCTTCATAACTCCTTCAATAAATTAGACAAAACGGGCGGAGATCGTGTGCAAAAGGTTTCGTTGCCGATTGTCAAATGGTGGACTAAATAACGACAACAACTATCACGGACACGACTCAATACACGGGTTCTTACGTCGACCCCGAAATCACGATGGTTATGAGGAGCACCGCTCCGGAAATTTTGACCATGTGGTTTTTTTTTTAACGTGAACTGACATCGCAAAGTACGCGGGCCTCTAAACGTGACCACCACTGCCGGGATCGAACCCGCGACCTCGGATCAGCAGCCGAGCCACGTAACCACCCATCCACCATGGCGGACCATGGACATGACAGGTCAGCGTAACCAAGTATCTTCCAACTATTTAGAACGCGTAGGTCCAGGTGGACTACGGGAATATGAAAAAGAAAATAGAGAGTTTTAGTACTGCGGAATGGTGCTACGTACGCATCACGCAAGCGCCTTGCGTTACGTGGCGTCGTTTGCCACTAATCGGCTTTTAGTACGCCGTAGTACCCGCGTACGTAACGAGCGTGTTGCGTCATCTGGTAGATCAAAATAGAAGCACGTGTTGTTGACAGCCAATGTGAGCCAATCCAAGTGTTATAGCCAGATTATGGCCATATTTTAAGCCACAGAGCCGGTCGGTGCTTGCCTTCGATGCCGCCATTTTGCAAAACGAAGTCTCGCGCTGTCGCGAACTTGTTCGAGAGCGGCGCGATCAGCTCATACGTACGCACGCACGCATCTCATGCGTGCGTACGTGGCGGCTGCGTACGTAACGCGATACGTGCGCGTTGCGGTCTGCGCATGCGCACTACGCAGAACGTGGCGTCCTTACGTACGCAACGCCGCAGCGTACGCAGTACTAAAACTCTCTAATGAAACGACAGCTATTCATTGCCGTACGTTAACAAGCATCACGGACCAGCAACCAGACAGACCAACCGAGACGGCGTACATGCGAACCAAAGACATCCTCGTCAGGTTACAGGAAGATGTTCCAGCTCGGTTAGGGAGCGCATCCTTTCTTCAATGTTAGTTGCAAGATCGGTTAGGAACACTCTTTGAAGTGTGCGTTCGTGACTGCGCGGTCTAAGCCGATGACCAAGCAAACTTAAAATACTGCGTACGGAAACGATCCAGCGAGGAACGACACAACAGTCTTGAGCACGCCGCGCTCAGCTGCGTCCACAATCTCTCAAACTACACAAAGGGGAGGACGAGGTGACTGTGTATGAAACACCGCGGTCCACGAATGGACATTCTGGGATGTTTCTTTATATCTCTGTTTAACTTTTTTTTTTACTAAATGTCGCTATACACTGCCGACAGGCGTACACACGGAGCGCACCGTTTCATGCTGCCGTTTTTCCGTTCTGGACGAAGTTTTCCGTACACGTGCACACAAACCGTGTATAGCACGGCACCCCCGGAAACTGGAAACTGCGCGAGCCGTGCTTATTTCTCCTTTGTTCGGAGCATCTCCGTTCACGTCTCAATCTACGCTGCCCGGCGACTCGCTTACAGCGCGACCAGTATAGCAGAGCTATCATCTCCCTCTGTTCCCTGTCTTTCATCTGGACAATCATCCCTCGAGACATTCTCCTTTGCGCACTTTTCTCTAAACCTTTCTCTCTCTCCCCTTCTTTTTTTCTTCTCGACAACGTCTTTTTCTTGCTCATCTCGCCTTGGAAAAGAAGTCGGGCTCCAGTTTTTTGTCCGGAGTATGCTCGCCCAAACACAAAGGCGATGCGACCGGCAAGCAGGCTTGGCGGCAACCAGGACGGACTTCCTGGTTTTCGGAAGCGCGCGGTACCGATGTTCACGCTCCACCCTCACGTTGTACACTGTACACACCAACGTGCCTTTCCCGGTGTAGGGCGCGCGCTGGGGCTTTTGTGCTTAAATTACGAAGAAGCACGCGCGAAGAAGAAAAAACGAGCCACGGCCGCACAAAGATGCCCAAACAAAGGGGGGAAAAGGAAGAAGAACAAGAAAAACCTCCACCACGGAAGGCAGGCAGTGAAGTCGTTTCGTTCATGCCTCGTTCGGCCGCGGCCGTATTTTAAGAAATAGATCGCGTAAAAGCCGACGGTGAGCGACGCGAAATGGGGCGCTCGAAAGAGAAATTAAAAATGTAGGCCCGCGAGGCATGCAATCGTGATGTTCGACCAGCACGCAGCTTGTTCTTGGCGGATAAAAGAAATAGCACTGATGAAAGAGTGAACGTGTCTTTCTTTTTCTTTCTCTCTATCTTGCTGTGTTTGTGACTGGTTCCGTACACCTACGGGCTTTCAGCTGTACGCATAAGAATCGCGAAAATACTCGTGTACTCGGGAAATACAGGTGCAAGCGTACGCCTGTGAACCAAGATAGGGAGAGAGAGAGAGAGAGAGAGAGAGAGAGAGAGAGAGAGAGAGAAGAAATGAAGTTCGGCAGTTTACTTCATATTGATTCGCAGGAACGTGAACGGAGCGTTTGTAACGATTTGACGTAACGGAAGGCGTAGATGGAAGGAGGCTGGACCTTATTCTCGGTTTCCGACGCGACAGGTCTTTTTTCGACGAAGCGGAAGTTCCCACACAGTTGATTGACTGATTGATTGATTGATATGTGGGGTTTAACGTCCCAAAACCACCATGTGATTATGAGAGACGCCGTAGTGGAGGGCTCCGGAAATTTCGACCACCTGGGGTTCTTTAACGTGCACCCAAATCTGAGCACACGGGCCTACAACATTTCCGCCTCCATCGGAAATGCAGCCGCGAGAGCTGGGATTTGATCCCGCGACCTGCGGGTTAGCAGCCGAGTACCTTAGCCACTAGACCACCGTGGCGGGGCCTGCTTAGGCGTTGTTGGTTATGAGCGAAAAATCACCATCTTGTCCCTCTTTCTGGATAAACTTGGGTTCCGCTATCATGTGCACGAATCATTCACAACTCAATTGATTGATTTGTGGGGTTTAACGTCCCAAAACCACCATATCATTATGAGAGACGCCCTAGTGGAGGGCTCCGGAAATTTCGACCACCTGGGGTTCTTTAACGTGCACCCAAGTCTGAGCACACAGGCCTACATCACTTTCGCCTCCAGGGAAAATGCGGTCGCCGCGAACGAGATTCGATCCCGCGACCGGCGGGTCAGCATTCAGGCTTTTTTTCTGGCGAGACGATACTCTTAAAGGGACACCAAAAAAGGGGAAGAGAGAAAACGATCACTCAGATTATTCTATATTAACTGCTGTTCCCCATTACACCCCCCCCCCCCCCCGCAAATCTCATCTTAGAGCGATAACAAGCAAAGGAAGCACCTAATGGCACCACCTTGAAGTTCTCTCTCCAGTTTGCAGCGATGCCGACAGCGTTTCCTATGGCCTACAAAATTCACAATAGGCGAAACTGATTTGGATTGTGTTTTGAGGGAGGCAGGAGCTTAACTATAACGAAGTTTCACTGAGCCAACGCGAACAGATTATGAAGAAAGACTTAAATCCGCGACGTCAATAACATTCAAGCGCTTGGCTGTCGGCGCGAAGTTTGAAAATGA